ACACCTTTGTTAAGTCGCGATTGTCCTCGGCCCCGTCCCAGAAATGCAGAAATGCCCCCGGGGCGAGGAAAAAAAAGGCCGGGGCCGTATTCCCCACAGCAGCATTCCGGCCTGCAGTGCGTGTTATTCCACATGGAGCAGATTCCAGGAGCCCTTTTTTAGGTGTAATAATCTAATTTTAGTGGGACAGGCACCAGGAGGTAGAGCACAAAGCGGATTATCGCCGCTCGTATCTTTAGCTAAAGGCCGGCGCGCTTCAAGTTCGCACCTCCAACAAACTCCAGCTCAGTGGGGGGGGGGCAACTGGACCTCCAGGCACCGGGAAGGGACCGGAGCTTTGCCCCGCTTAGTTTTTTTAAAATAAAAAAAACACATGTTACCCACTGGATCTTTAAAGGCCAGTTTCCTTGCAACCCCCCCCCCCCCCCCCACCCCCCCTTTACAGCCTCACACAAGTTGGCAGGAGGCTCCGCTCAGCTCCAGCTCCACATGATGATATTGAAAAACAGATGGAAATTAAATCATTGTGATTCCAGGCTGAAGCGGAGCCAAAGACAACTGAGGGCACGGTGGTGGGGGGAAAAAAGAAAAGAAAAGAAAAGGAAAGGAGGTAAGGGGGGGGGCGGTGGGATTCTGGTTGCAATTGTGTGTCAATTAAATCCGCCATGCTGCAGGTTGATAATTAGAATCAGGCGGTAAAACACCGCAGGGCCGGCTCTGATATGAGCACCAGAGCAAATAAAAAAACACTCATTACTTATGTCAGCTAATTTATTATATTTTTTAAAAAAAAGCTTCCTGAAAAAAAGATCATAAAAAAGTAAACAGGCTGAGCAGCTCGTTTTAATTAAGTTCCACACAAAAGCCTTTAATTGTTACATTCACGTCCCTCTATTGTTACAATAAACGATTGATTTTATTTTAATTTTGTTAAAAACAAGAGGGGAAAAAGAGCCTGCGTGACTGGATTTAAAAAGGAGAATTTGTTCTTGGACACCAAAGCCGCAGAGGGGGGGGAAACGTGGACCAAACGGAGCTGAGAAGAGGACGAACAGCCCGGAGTCCCACGGCTCCTGAAGCCGCTCCGACCGTGAACGCACCGGTTCAGCAAACCCAAATATTGATCATATTTAGTCCGATTACTTTGGCAGGAGTTGAGAGCCAGACTCCGGGCGGTTCTTCACGGCTAATTGCACTTGTTGAGCAGAAAACTGGCCGCAGTCTATTAGTTTTATCTCCCAGAGAAGAGGAATAATATTTACAGGGTTAGGCAATGGGGACCGATCAAACAACTCCATTCAGATGTTTAATGTTGATCGTTAGGCCTCGTGCGTGACTATTTTGGATGGATAATTGGCTTCTAATGCAACCCAGGCCGGATAATTGAATTTGATGAATAAAATGTCGTAATCGTTTGCTTTTATCCAAAGCTTATGGCACAACAACTGAAATGGTTCCAGTTTAATATCTTAAATAATTCAATAGCTATAATTAAAATTATTAAAGAAAAATAAATCAATCTGCACAGTTAGACTGGAGTTACATTTGGAAATCAGTTAATTTAACTCAAAAGAAAAGCAAAGCATTAAAGTTTTTTTGTGCTTGCTATCAGAAAAAAGGGCGTTAAATTAAAGAATAATTTAGAAATAATAAAACGTTTCAACCGGCTGAATTTTTAAGCATAAGAAGAGCTGTAAAAGTAAAATCACATCAATTTTGGTCTGTATGATTAAATACTTGGGTTTAAAATAGGCATTTCTGGATTCAAACCGAATTTACTGGCCTCATTTTGTGCATTTTCCCCTCACATTTTTGTTGATTTTTGCCTCAAACTTCCCTAAAACCTGCGGACCGGTTCGCTCTTTCGCTTCAGCGGAGATTTTAACAAAACCAAACACACACACGCGCTCTCACACACTCACACACGGCGGCAGCAGGGGTGAGAATGCGCTCACCATGTGCGTCCCAGAGCCTGTCCGTCAGCCCGCAGCCCCAAACGCGCCTCCCGATCATCAGGGTCCGCACTCAAGACTCACCGAGAGGGCGCAGAGCACCGGCTCCTGCTCCGGGAGGGGGTGGAGGGGTGTGTGTGTGTGTGTGTGTGTGTGTGTGTGGGGTAGATCAGCTGGGAGGTGTCTCTCCCAACAGCAGAGCAGAGCCCAAAGCTCCCACCTCCGCTGGAGAGCAGAACTGAGACGTTGGAGTTGTTTGGAGATTGCTAAAACACAGCTCAGATTTGAGGAAAAGGGACTCCTGGAACCATCTCCAGGAAATGTGGTTTAGGTATGCAATGCCAAGGAGCATTGTGAAGATCCAGAATCGATTCTGGTTGGAAATGTTGGAAACAAAATGCAGTGAAGGTGTTAAAGCTGTGGCTCCAGAGCACACCGACACACAAAAGAACATTAGATTAAAGTCAGTGGGGAGAATAACTGTACAAGTTGAGGTTTGTTTCTCACAGGAATCTTTTTTGATTTCCTGTATTTCCTGTTTCATCACTTTCCAGTATTGCTAAACACCGAGAACTGTATTTGAGATTTAAAAAACATCCAAATATTCTCATTGTGGTTCTAGATTTTGTATCTCTTGTACTCCTAAGACTTTATCCAGAAAGTAAAAACCTGTTTAACTCCACAAACAAAGGTTAGAGGTCAATTTCTAAAAAAAAAACATTCAACATTCAATACTCAAAAGCTTTCACCCCCCACCAGCGGTCACCATAAAAATCCTGATCTGAATCCCTAAAAGTTTCTTTTCCCCCGTGAACTTTAAATGAAGACTAGCGTTTTAAGACTCTCCTCAATATTTCATGGCTTGTTAAGGAGGGTTATTTAACACTGTGCACATCCTCCTTTATTGCCGCAGGCGGGCAAACACAAATCACGGAGGAAAGCGAGCTGCTGCCGTCTTATCTTGATCTTGCACTGACCAGGCAGAGGTCTCACCCTCCAGTGTGCTCCAATTATCCCTCGGCGGGATAAGAAAAAAGGGCCCGAGTTAATTGGTTGGAGTGGATGGTTCTCAGATGTGAAGCAAAACTGATGCAGATGGAAATATAAGAAGAAGAACTGAGCTGGGCGGAGGGAGGGAGGGGAAGACGCTTGATTGGGGAGGAGGAAACTTTCCCAGAGAAGGACATAAAACTGATTGATGGCTTCCCTCGAGGAATGTTTCCCCAGGTGTGCTTTGTGTGTACGCCTGCTCAGTCACTGTGCACTTAGGAAATGCTATCCTTGGACCGGGTACAAGTGCAATAAAGTAAATTGAGGGGAGAAATAGCACGTTTATGCGTCAATAATGCTCTTTGGCAACATAAATAAAGAGACATGGGAGATTTCCGCGGGCTGGGGTGGAGGTGGAGGCAAATTGGTGCCGTTTAATGAAGAATTTAAGGAACACAAATGCTAATTGGGAACAGAAAGCATCCCCCACGCGATAAGAAAGAACGTCCTACTGCTTAATCAAACTCTTGAGGTGGTCCTTGACAGGTTGCCGGGTCCTGCCAAACCCGGCGGCGTTAGCGGTGCGCTAGGAGACTAAAGACACAATAAACCAAATACCAGAGAGGAGTGATTATGAAAGTCAGCATCGTGACTGAAAAGGGTTTCACAACACGGGGCACGGCTCAAATATGAGAGGCTCCTCGGCATGGTTTTTGTTGGCCTGGTTTTATAGATATTCTACATTTACAGGTGAGCGTGTTCAGGCACCTGTGGGCGTCAGAAAAACATCAGGACCGAATGCTGTTTCCTCTGTAAAATGAACAGAGTAGATATGAAAGGAGAGTTAATGTCACAAGGTAAAAGTTTAGATCCATTAAAAAGAACAGAAAATCATTTTTTTTTGTTGATCTTTTTATTTCTGATTTATAAAATGTGTCAATGCAAATCTGGAAATTAACTAAATTCAGGTAATGATTAAATCTAGGTTAAAGTAACACTGACTGATGATGTTGACGGTCCTACGATAATCAGATTTGCCAGAAAATTAAAGATTAGAACAACGGGTGTACCTCAGGGATGGGTTTCGGGTCCCCTAACGTTTTTGTTCGAACAAGGTAAAGAAATGAATAACAATAGTTTCCATAAATTGAAGATCTACAACAAGAAAAAGTCTACAAACAAAATAAATTGTACAAAAAAACCCTGTACAGACACAAGCATAAGATGTCTGCAGCTGTGAAGCTAAATTCTGCAAAAAAAGACCAACCAGGCCTCATGAGCTTTTGCACATAAACTAATCTCTTTCAAGACTTTATTGCATATTTCTTCCGTAGAAAGCAGGTAAAGCGTTTGTGTATGTTTCATTCTGCTTTTGAACTGCAGCCGTTTCTATCCGTATCAGCTAAAAGCTGCAAATAACAAGCTAAAGTAGCTCTTACGTTTCGTAATAGCAGCATCTACTCAAGTTAAAAGCTAAATGAGAATTAAAATATTCACATAATTCTCTCTGCACCAGGAAGTCCAAGTTCATTGATGTGTTGATGTATCTCACTCCATTTGTTCCAGGAAACTGAGAAACTGTTTGCAAATGCAAACACTTTCTCCTTGCAGGTCATTCGATTAAAAAAAAAAAGTTTTTCTTACACGCAACAAGGGATGTTTTTTTTAAAGAACAAAAAAGAACCCGATCACGGTTGTGGCTGAGTGCTTTGGCTCCAAAACACGGTTGGCACAAAGAGGAATGGAAAATAATCCTCGTTGCCATGAATCCAAAACGCAGTGTTTTTGTTTTTCCCAGAGATCCCCTCGCTTTGTGTTCTGGAACGACTGCTGACAGGTGGTGATGGGTGGCAGGCTGCTGCTCGGCGAGGAGGTAAAAGCGGCCCATAAAACACACGTCGACCTGCTGAGTGCAGCGGTCAGCGCGCCGGAGACCCAACATGTGAGGAGCTGTGGCTCCAGTGCACGAGGACTTAAAGCCGCAGCCTCAGGAAGTCCAGCCTTTCTTCAGGTCAGGAATTTATCACCGGCAGACGTCCTTTCGGGCCCGAGACGCCGGCCAAGGCCTGCGCATGCCGGCCCCCCCTCTGGCTCGCCCCTCGTTTCCCGTCACATCTTGTTTATCCTTTATCTAATAAAGCTTCTGCCGGATAAATGGCCGATTCTGGCTAAACTTAGTGCTGAAGCATCAGCATTTATTGGCGCATTTCTTGCTCTTTTCTTTCCTTTTCAAATCTCTCTAAACAGGCGGCAACTCATTTCTCACGTCGAGGTTACAAAGGCTTTTCTCCTCAACACAGACGAATAGATTAATGCCTCAAATTCTCCTTTACGGCACATTAGAAATGTAAGCCATGACTATTGCAGCCGCTTGTGGGACGGTGTCTGTAAAGATGATCATTACAGGAAGCCGTCTGGGGCCCGTTTCAGATGAGTGAGCCTCGCTGTTAAAAGAATAAACACCTCTCATCTCTTCACGCGCTCTCAGCCCTTTTTACAGAGCTCCGCGCCGGATAATGGGCTCTCTTTCACCACCTGAGTCGAGCGGCTGGGCGCTGACAGCGTCCTAACAGCCACGGCGCAGCCATCAGGCTGCACAGATCCAATTTGGGGTAATTAATGTTTGGTGCCCGGCGGGAAAGGGTTTTAAACAAGAAAGCGTCCCCGGCAGCTGCGTTAAAGCCCGGAGTGGAGAGAAGATTGATTTCTACCAATCTGTCTGCGTTTGTATAGTTACATCATTCCATCTGGAAATCATTTGTCCATTAACTGTTAGATAAGGATCTGCTCATGTAAATATACCGTATCTGAGCAGGTTACACCCCCCCCCCAGAGCATCAGGTTTCAAAAGCATCTGCAAGTGAAGCAAAAGAGGCTGAAATCCACGTGACAGAGGCCTTCGTCTGCCCTTCTTTTTGTGCCTTTATTAAATTCACATTCCGGGATTCTCACGGTCGGCAGCTGGATCTGGAAGAAGCAGGATGGGGCCCAAAGTGCTTTGCCAGTGCAGCTCTGCAGGAATGCAAAAATCAGAGTTTTAAAAAAAAAAAAAAAAAGAAAAGAAAAAAAAAGCCTGACCGCTCAAGCCAGAAAAGTTTTGCATCTCCAATCCGGAATCCACACAGGTCGCACCCTTTCTGGTGGGCTCCCGCTTCCTCCTCTGACCCGTCTCAGGGTTCGAGTCGCCACAGCTCTGGCAGACGTCATGGTCACCGTCGGCCGACCTCCAGCTGGCGGAAGACGGTCAACAGGTTTCTGCTTGTCGGAGAATAACCTGAGCCAGCTAAAAAAAAACAAAAAAACCACTGACCTCCCGTTAATAAAGGAGCAGGCCTTCTTCTGGTGATCCGTCTGGGAGGCGGGCGCGGCCTCCAGGTGACAGGTGACGTAGATCTGCGGGAGGGGGAAACACAGATCCGGCTCAGGGCCTTCCCCCCCCATTCACACACTCAGGAACGGGGCGGGAGGGAAGCCACCGACGGTGCGCCTGTGGTCCTGGTGGAAGAGGAAGGGCTCCAGCTGGATCTGGAGCAGGTGGTCCCGGACGCGGGGCAGGAAACGCGAGCCGGAGCCGCTCAGCCGGGAGTCGGTGAAACACCTGCATGGTGGGAGCGGGACGCCCCTCATCAGGCAACGATCGGAGCCGGAGGGAGGCGGGTTTCCCCCTCTGGGAGGAATCCGGCGTGGACATTAGAGACGCAGCACTCACCCCTGGTGGTCTATGAAGGGATATCTCGGGTGGGAGTCCACATCAGGGCTCAGGGTGGCCACGCAGCCGCCCGCGTACAGACGGAGGGGCGGGCGGTGGTCAGGGTCCACTGAGGCCTCCATGTGGACCGTCTCACCCATGAGGTAAACAGCCGACCGTCTCTCTTTGCTCCAGTCGTCTGAGACAGAAAACAGTATTATTCTTTCATTTCCATCAAATCTTTTCCGGCTGGAAACTCTGAGGCTGTTCAGTATTCGTGGAGCTTTTATAGATTTATGCAAAAGCATTTGAGACTAAGGCGAAAGAAGCCGTAGAACTGGAGCATTTGTTCACATTGTGACATCTTTTTCCTCATCAACAACCCAAAAGCTGCTTTAAAACACGCCCACCTGTCATGAGCCTGATGCGGAAACCGAGGGGCAGCTGGGCCGACTGGACGGAGACGAGGGGCGTCCAGGTGGGCCGGAGGGGGCCGCTGCTCACCCTGTACCTCCTGCAGGGAGCAAAGCCAGGTCACAAAACCCAACACAGAGAATCCACCTGTCACAGCAGCTTCCAAGTTCACCTCACAACACAAAAAACATATTTAAAAAATCCAATCCAATCAGAAAAATGACATTTCTGAGATTATCCAACGCAAACAGGGGATAAAACTCTGTGATCAGCTTCTGAAAGGACATTTTTCCCTTTATCTGGATCATTTAAATTAGCTTTTATTCTACTCAAAGAGGGAAAAATTTGTATTTGTGAAAGATTTGTGATCAGTTAAAAACATCCAGAACAGTCCAGCACTGATCTAAATCTGCTGTGAACCCCAAACAGACCCCACACTGCCCCCGCTTTTCACAGGCCTCAGACCACCCGTCTTTAGCTTTTGACTCCTTCTGGTTTTTTTCTGTCCGAGCTGGACGGGGTTTTTTTTTTTTTGGACCTGTCGTATTCGCACAGCAGGGGGACCGCGGCCCCCATCTGGAGCCCGCCGTCTCCGTCTGGGGACGGGGGGAAGAAAAGCAGCAGGTTGTGGTACAGCAGGGCATCCTCCGTGAACTGGGGACACACACACACACACAAAGCGCCATCAGGCCCCCCCCCCCCGCCAAAAGGTGGCACCCCCCCCCAGCCTTGACCCCCCCCCCACACACACACACACAGTGGACCGGAGGCTCTCACCGACCATCACTCTGCTCCCACACTCATCCAGCCGGGCCCTGATGGCGTACTCCCCGGTGGGGGTCGCCCGGGCAACGCAGGCGTCCGGCGCCCCCCCGGGGGGCCCCAGCCTCCACCGCCCGGGCCCCCCGGGGGGGCCGTCCTCCATCATGTGAGCTTGGATCTTCACCTCGACGCCGTCCCGGTGGCACCTCACCGCGAAGACCTCCCCCCGGTCGCCTTCGGACCCCCCGTCGGGGTCCCGGGTCCGAGGGCCCGGCTCCAGGCCGGAGTCGGGCGGGGGGGGCGGTTCGGTCGGGTGCGGGTAGCTCCGAGCCGTCACCAAATGGGACAGGAGGTAAAGAGGAAACATCTTAGAAGCCAAAACAAGAGCCATTGTTCTGTTCACTTCGTCTGCTAGAGGCAGGAGGAGCTCAGCTGAGGCCAATCAGCCCAATCAAGGCCAATCAGCCCAATCAGGCCCATCTGGCCAATCAGAGAGCAGCAGGGCCGGCCTCCAAACAATCAGCTTCATTAACTCAGAAAAAAATCCCCCTTCAATTCATCAAACTGGTATAAAAGCACTTTATTCAAATGTAAAAAACTGTACATATTGCATTTTTGTTCCACAGTTTGGTAGAAAAAACTGATAGAGGCACAAAAAAAAAAGCCAGAAATAAACCAGAAACTGTTTTTTTTTTTTGGGGGGGGGTGCCTCCCCAGAGTTCTCCTCCATCCTGCGCCGCCTGCTCCTCCTCCTTCCGCCCCCCCCCCGCCGAGCCTGGCGCCTCCTCGGCCCCCCCTTTGTCTCCGTCCCACACCTCCCTCAGACATTCTGGAGGAGAGAACAGAGGAAAAGGTTCAGTCTTCAGGAGCCACACGGCGTTTTCTGTACAGGGAAGAGAAGTTTAGCCTCAGCTTCATAGTCTTTGGGCCCCGAGAGCAATAAATAACATCGGTCTATCCATTTTCATTTTCATTTTAGATGCATGAGTGATGATTTCTACGTCATATTGCTCGGTTCTTTGTTTAAAAACGAAGCTGGTTTAGGCCTCCTGTCTATTGCTTCTTCCTTGCTGCACTTTAATGATTTTTGCAGACTGTTTTTGAGTCCGTTTAAACGGGAATTATAAACCAGATGGCGGGTTTACCGCAAAGGCTGGGCTTTTATAGACCCCCGCCGCTTCCCCCTACCTCGCTCCGACGTCTCCAGGACGTGCTTCTCGCACAGGAAGTCCTCCAGCCTCTGGTCCTGGTGACGGAAGTACCAGTCCTCCACCACGTCCTCGTACCGCTCCAGCATCGTCTCGCACTGGACGGGCGACACCCAGAATGACACAAATGTAGAAATCTGGCTCGGAAACGTCCGTGGCTCGACACGTTTGGCCATCCTACCTGCTTCTTCATGAGCGACACCTCCACCGAGGGCTCGTCCCACAGCTCAAAGGGCATGCCCAGGTCCACTTTGACCCCTTTGTGGACCAGATTCTTCAGCGTGGTCATGGTCTGGCTGGAACCCTGCGCCCGGACACATTCAGAGGGATGGGGAGAAGAGAAGGAGGCCTTTAAACACGGGGAGATCTTTCCTCAAAGGGTGATCTTTTGGGAAATCGGGGCTCACTTTGGCGTATCGGAGGCTGCCGGGCCGCTCGGCGTGGACGTTGTACTGCAGGACGCGCTCGCAGATGTTGTCCACCGCCTCGGTCAGACGCGTCTCCCTGGATTTGGACAAATAAGGCTTCAGTTCTGGCCTCTGACCGGCCCAAAGGTCAAAGCTGTGATTGTTCTGGATCCTGGAGCATCCGGGCGAGCCAGCGTTCTGACCCCAGATTGTCAGGACTTCGTTTTCCATGGCAGAGTTTGCTCAGAAAACATTGAGTGTTTGTGGTGGGAGGTCAGGAAAAAAACCTACGAGGTGTTGTACTTGATCTTCCTCCTCCTCCTGCCCGTGTCCAGCACCTCTCCAACCTCCAGCACCTCTTTGGAGCGGCCCGTTTTTTCCAAAGCTTCCTGCAGCTCGACTGTCAGAAACTTGCACACTGAAAGGCCACAAAGCGACACCTTTAAGTTTTTTTTTTTACAGATGTGCAGGCGCGCTGCCCCTGCACATCTGTAAACAAACAACTGGATCCTTTAAATCGTCCCCTTACCTTCGCATTTGTTCGGCAATCTTTGGTCTTCCTCTGCCGCAACGAAGCTGCAGACACAGAGCAAAGCAACGAGAAAAACTTCCATAGCAGCTGTTTGTTTTTTTGTTTTTTGTTTTTAAAATCCAGAGAAAAGTTTTTGTTACATTAGCCACATCGGCGCTTGTGCTGCGCATGCGCACAGCCGGCGGGACAGACTCGACTAGTCAAGGCGGATGTTTCGATTTCCGAGAAAGAAACAGAAAAATCATCTGTTCAGAGGCCCGATGAACACATATTTCGCCACAAACAGCGGCTAAGCTGTCACACAGGACAGATATCCTTACAGAGGTCTGACTGAACGTGAATGTTTGATTTATTTATCAGATTTAATTGCATTTAGACACAATTCACACGTAAAAACGAGGACGACACATTGAGTTAAGATAATAAAGTGAATGATAGTATTTCTGACTAAATTCATAACAATCAGGTTTACATAGACATTATTGAATTTTTATTTATTTATTTGACAGGTACAGTACAATTAAACATTGCAACCAAACAGGTGGCCGATGTTCAAGTACATAACGCTTGTAGCCATGGGTTAATTTGCTAATTTGTTGATTTTCTGTCATTTTTAATAGGAATTTATTTATTTTGTAGCAAAAACCAGCATGAATTTTGCAATCATAGTATTTTGAGCACATTTTGCACCTTTTTAAACTGGTCTTTTAAGAGGAATACGTGCTTGACATGTCCTTTTATCATTTCCAGATATTATATGAAACAGTAGCTCTAAACAAAAGGTGAAAAGTGTCAGGAGCTCCTTTGTTTTTACTCCACTTCACCCACCACGATGCCAATTGGCGAGTTGGTTTGACCTCAGGGGGAACTTGGATGAGAGCAGCTATCTCCAAAAATAACCCGGACCGAAGACTAACTCACACGGAGATGTTAAAAAAATGCTCACTGCTGGAATCCAAACTCTACGTGCACGTAAAGAGAAGCCTCCAGAGCTTATGCTGGTTAAAATGAACCCTGAATACCCTGTTTGACTGGCCACTGAGTTCCTACCTCTCCTCGAGCCCTTTCTTGACTTTAAATTCTTCAGTCGTTGACAGCCTTTGGTTTCTTTCTTCACCTCCACCTGGTCAGTGATGTGTTGAAATGTTTAGCACATTTCAATAAAGAAATCCTAATTTCATGATCGGATGTTTAAAACTGGCCACACAGAATAGAGAAGTCATATCTTTGAAGCCATCCTCTTCACTCATTCATCCACTGATGGTCAAATCTGATGAAACTTCTCTGAAACATCTCCACACACAAATGATCTCACTCAGACTAAAGAGGAATCTATTAAAAACACAACCTATGTTTACACAGTGTGTGATCCGGGTTATTTTAAACACTTTTGATGCCTATTTATTCGTGCTTTCCAAAAATAAGCACGATCAGTTTTCCCTTCCAGCCCCTTGAGACTTTTCTTTCAAAAGCCTAATCTGAAGTTTAAAAAAAGGAACGTCCTAATTTAGATAAATCCCTTTCGTCGACACTGAGCTGTTGCCACAACAGAATGGCAAAAATGAGCCGGATATTCAGCGGAGAGGGGGTGAAATCAGAGGGGGTTCCTCTGGTCAGCACCCAGGACACGAGGGAGGGAAAAGAAGGAGGAGAAAAGAGAGCAGAAGGAGTCACAGAGCACGGAAAAAATGAAGACAGGACGGGAGGAGGGAGGGGAAAGAGAAGACCGTGCAGAGTCCCGGAGCAGAGGAGGAAGGTGGAGGTGTTTGTGTTCTCCCTCAGCTGACCATCACCGGATAAAGTGTCTGAAACTCAAGAGGCCGGGCCGTAACCGTAGCCCTCCCTAGCTGGGAGGCTCTCCCCGGGTATGGCGGTTAGTTATGTCACTGGCTTGTCTGTCCATTGTCTGCGGGGAGGCGGATAGAGTTACACGCTCACGCATCAGCCTCGGAGGCGGTTGCGTAAAACCCCCACAGGCTGCCATCAGAGAGGCTGTAAGGGGACCCGCCGCGCTCACATGGAGCTCTGCCCTCACGCTTCTTCACCTGTGGCCTCCAGCTCCCGCCGGACAAAAGAGGGCTCCGGGCACAGGTGGGGATGCACCGGGCGCCCCCGACAGAGGACAGAAGAAGAAGAAGAGAGAGTCTCCGTGGAGTTCAGAGAGCTGCCAGGTCCTGCTGGAGGTTTACAAACAGAGAGGTTTTTCTGAAGAGATCCGGAATCTGCTGAGGTGTTTAACAAGTGGACAGACCTCAGACTGAAAGGTGAGGACTCGTTCGGACGGGTTAAATCCTCTTCTCTGACTCAGGATGCTTGTTTCCAGTCAGCTAGTGTGTGAACGGTATAATTCACATTCAGTTGTGTTCTGTTCGTGAGCTTAAAGTTTAAATTTTAGCTCCAAAAATGTCAGAGAAGCTGCGGTTTGCCAGCTGACAGCTTAACAGCTGGTGGGTTTCTTTGTTTGTTTGTTTGTTTATGTCTAGAAAACGCTGAAGGTGTCTCCAGCAGAGAGGTTTTAGCTGGAGAGGTTTCATAAACTGACAATGGCCTGTTTGCCTTGTTGAGTTTGTGTGAATTCAGGTCCAACATTTATCTTCTCAAATGGCACATTTCGCTGACCGCTGCAGAAAACATTCAAAAGACTCAGATCCAGATGTGGATGGACTGATATTTAAACTACTGGTATTTTAATCCCGTAACAAAGCAGATAAACATCTAACTATTTATTGAGAATAAAAAAACACCAGAAAATCAAAAGTAACCACTTCTTTGTTGACCTGCCCCTGGATTTTGTTCATCATTTCTAACGTGCTTAATATTAATAATTTATTACTATACGATAAGTCAAGATTATTTTTTGTGTAGTCTTCTGCTCCCTGTTATCAGGTGTATCTGATTGTGTACAATAGGATTTTGAGCAAAGTTTTTACCATTAAATTATGCAAAAGGTGTCAGACGCAAAACCTTTCAGAAACCATACGTATCAAATATGGTACATTTGGCATTACAGGGTTAATGAAGTCAATATTTTCTATAAATCTAAATGGTATCAATTAGTTTTTTTTTAACATATTTTAGTTTTAAAGTTTAAACTAAATAAAAATGGAAAGATTATCCATAACAGCCTCATTGTCTGACCCACAGCTGCACAAGGTCGGCTTTTTGCTTCACTTTTTCCTAAAGACGACCCCACCGAGCAGCAGATATAAGCAGGGAAACGGTCCCAGGCGGGACGCCGCCTGTCTGAGACCGGTCCGACCGGCCCAGCAGAACCAAACCCCGGGTAGTGACTGTGGCAGGTGGCCACTTTCTGCTGCTTCTGCTTGAATCCGATACAAGAAAAAACTAAATCTCCCTGATAATTGATCACACTGACCCGCCAAGCATCTGCAGGCGGCAGCACCTGAGCGGTGTGAGTTTTTCCTTCGCGCAGCAAAGCCCCCCGCTTGACCCCGCCATGATACACAGACACACACATTCCAGCCGACACACACACACACACACACACAATGCTGACTCGGGGATATAAAGAGTGGGATTGCCTCGCTGCTTAGGCAACCCAACCCACACAAACACACATTTTTCAACCTGGAGCTTAATTTTTAGGAGTAAAAATACCTTTTTCTATCCACAAACACACATCCAGTGTGAAACGATGGCAGATTCAGCAGCTAAATGAGCAGTTCAGTTATTCTCTTTGAGCATCCTGATAAAAAGATATGAGAAATCACTTTCCTACTGTCGGATTTCAGACATCTCACAAATCTGATCTTTTCTGAAGCTGGTGTTGGTCCAAAGGCGTGAAAAAAGATGCCGATTGGGTGTGTGAGAACACACATGTAGAGAACACACAACGCTTATCTGGTTTTAATTGCGAACCCCCACATCGGATCTGGATTTACGATCTTTAAAATGTCTCCGCTCAGGTTTTTATCTCCCGATAAGGCCGGAGTGTAAGCAGAAACATGTGTTGTTTTATGAATATTACCCAGTCAAAGCTCGTGTTTACTGGTGCTAAATGTTTGGGATTTTATGTCCAACTGGTCAGAACAAAATCCCCTTGTTCTTCATGATGTTTGAGGGTCCTGATGGACGGATGCCTCTCGGTCTAACTCCTGCTTTGGCAGAGCGTGGCTCCACCTTCCCAACATTTATCTCCCCCCGTTTTCCCTCCGTTCGGCCCAGGTCCGAGCACGATGCTGGAGCGAGTGACCGACTTCCAGGGCCAGAGCTTCCACAGGCTGAGGCGGGCCTGCCTGCGCCGGGGGGCCCTCTTCAAGGACCCTCTGTTCCCGGCCACCGACCAGTCCCTCTTCTACAAACGGGCCCCCCCGCCGGGGCTGACGTGGAAGAGGCCGCGGGTGAGTTCCCGCCAAGATCGGAAATCTCCCCAAAAAAACAAACACACGGCTCCAGAGCCTCTCTCTTTTCTCTCTCTATCTCCGAAAATGGCTGCCTCAGCATTTTGCATTTCAACAGGTTGGATTAATTAAAGCGCTTTCTATAATTAGCGTGGCGTCAGGCAGTGAAACTTTAGCTGCTGATGGAGGGCCATGGCACTGAGAGCGCTCCTGTGTGTGTGTGTGTGCGTGTGTGTGTGTGTGTACAGTTGGGCCTACAAAAAGCACTAGCCGGTGGAAATAGCCCCGGTGTTTTTAGCACAGTGTTGTGATGGGTGTAGTTGTCTTAAACTGTGGGTGTTAATCCCAGCTGCGCATAGTCATGTGAAACCCGAGGTTTGGATTCAAGGTTAGGTTTATTATTGTCTGGAGCAGATGGACGGGATTCCACTCAGATGCTGTAAGGACTTCTTGGGAAATTATTTTTCTTCATCCACTAAATGTCTTATACTAACCATCAGTCATTCAATTACACTGTTACGTTCTTTTGCATCTTATCAGATGTGTTTTTTGCCTTATTCCAAACACACATTAGGGTCGGAAATACCCATTTCTCTCTAATGAGTTTAGTTAGCTTATTTTACTCATGTGTAGATACAGCATTCAAGCTTAAAAAGCTTTGAAAACTTAAAGAAAGTCTTCTAATATACTGATATCATATTTCCAATGCTCCCCTCTAGTATTTCAAGTGTGTATCAGCAGGGAGCCGTTTGCTAAAGTGACATCTGTCGTCCCACTTACCCGACACGCGCACACACACACACACACACACACCATGAACTCACCTATTTTCAAGCATAACTGTCCGGTTCACTTTGGGTGGTCCGATCTGAAGGGGCTGGTAGGTGCTCCTCCGTTCCATTAATGGAGGTTATGACCTCTGAGCGTGTGCGTTTAGGTGTGTGTGTGTGTGTGTGTGTATGTGTGTGTTACCTGACCCACAGATCAGCCGGTCCACACGGACAGGACACGTCCACCCAGCGGCGTTCCGACTCTCTGAATCAGCTTTCAGGCCTCGTAAAACGGTGTGATGATACTAACTGCTGCTGTCAGTGGCCGGGCAAGTTTATCTGTGGAGCACATGTCGGGTACAAGACAATTCAAAGTGCTTCACAAAGAATTTAAAAGCAGAAAAAAACAAGAAAAGGAAAACAATCAACTGGAAAAATTAGATAGATAAAAAGTGAAGGGTGCAGATAAAATACATTCAATTTCTATATACACAGTTAAAGAGAACCGTTTTCAGCCTGGATTTAAACACTGTCAGAGTTGAGGCCTGTCTCACGTCCGAATGAAGACTTTTCCAGATTTTAGGAGCATGGAACTGAAATGAAGCTTCACCTTGTTTAGTTCTGAGTCTGGGCACCATCAGGAGACCAGAACCTGGTTTTCAGAGTCAGAGCTGTAACATGTCAGGAAGGTATTTCGGTTCTAGACCGTGAAGAGACTGGAACACAAGTAGAGCTCTTTTAAAGTCCGTTCTCTGAGTGACAGGAAGCCAGTGCAGAGACCTGAGACCTGGACTGATGTGGTCTTATTTCTTGGTTCTGGTCAGACCCAGTTGATGACAGAGTTTGTTCTGCGTTTTTAAAACGGATAACAGTCAGATCGAATGACTGTGGAGGCGTAGATACAAAACAAGTGGTGATTATTGTGTGATGTTCAGCCCCTAAAAGCAGGGTGACTCATCAGGGACTATATTTAGTTTATTTCTCAGGTTCAGGCTGCAGATTAAGATGAAAGAAATGATAGTGCTCAGCTCCTTGTCTGGTTCCAAAGATAAAAATATACTTAAATGAAGACTCATTGTCAAATTAACAGTAAGAACTTCTGCACACCAGTTATGAGACATAAAGTATCAAACCCTGATCCCAGAGGAGGTCGGAGCCCTGAACATCACCAACTAGGACGCAGTTTAGTCTCAGGCTGGCTTATTCTAATGTTGTGGGTTTTAAAGGGTGTTTACGTCTGTTCTGAAATCAGCTCCTGGTGGTGATGGACTTCAGTTTCAAATGTGAGCTATAGACTTGTTTGTTTCTGTTGCTTCGTGGCTGTTTTAAGCCCGTTTATTCCCCCTAATTGAGATTAAATGTTTTTCTTCAGGAGATCTGTAAGGACCCCCGGCTGTTTGTGGACGGCATCAGCACTCGGGACCTCCACCAGGGCAGTTTGGGGAACTGCTGGATGGTGGCGGCCATTTCCTGCCTGGCATCGGAGCCATCGCTGTGGAAGAAGGTTGACCACAGCCCCTCTGACCCCTCTAACCCCCCCACCCTCTGGTGCCTGTACCTTCCCTCTCACGTTTCGGCCCTCCATCCCGCCCGCCAGGTCATTCCCGACCACGTGGACCAGGAGTGGAACCCCAAGCGCTCCGACCTGTACGCGGGAATCTTCCACTTCCGCTTCTGGCGCCTGGGCCGCTGGATGGACGTGGTGGTGGACGACCGGCTGCCCGTCAGCGGGGACGGGGCGCTGCTCTTCTGCCGCTCGGCCACGCCGCGCGAGTTCTGGAGCGCCCTGCTGGAGAAAGCCTACGCCAAGTGAGAGGAAAACACTGATAGCTCCCCAGTTCCAGCTCCATGACCGACACACTGAGCCCCACATCTACCTCCGAGGCCTCAGGAGGGGCAGCAGGTTTTTCTGAGAGGTTCAGGACAACCATGACAATGCTAAAAATCTCATTTTATACCTTGCTATTAACATCAGTTTTGGATTTTTTTTGTAGTCTTTGGTTTGGTTTTGTCGTATTTTCCTGGGTTCTTTAGTTTGTGTAGCCTTTTTTAAAATTTTATTGTATTTTTTTATTAGCTTTTCAGCTTTTTGTTTTGTCTGTGCTGAAATATCAACCCTAAGACTTAAAATGGGTGCAGTGTGAGGGTGTGAATGAGAAAGGAAACGTTTTGAAATTGCCAGGCATCGGCCTCATGAGGCACACGTTTTTCAATGCACAGCACGTCTTTAAAAGAAAAGGAGCAAATGGTTTCCTTAGTTTTTAAGCAAATGTGAAAAGATGCTGCAGTTTCCTGAAGTGATTCGGTGTCCAAAAGCAGTAAAAAGAAGCACAAAGAGTCAAACAAAAAGGAGAGTCGGTCAGATAAATGCAAAGCAGCCTCTCTCCTGACTTCTGCCCTGTTCCCAACTCTCCGACTAGAACGATGAGGATGACGCCTTCGGCCTTTCTGTGCTCGGTCTGGTCTTTCAGGCTGAACGGGTGCTACGAGGCCCTGGAGGGGGGGAACACGGCGGAGGCCCTCATCGACTTCACCGGGGGGGTGTCGGAGCCCCTCAGCCTGGACCGGGAGGCCCTGGCCCTGCACGGCGAGCGGAGGAAGGCCCTCTTCCAGACGCTGTTCAAGGTCCAGGAGCGCAAATCCCTCATCACCTGCTCCATCCGGGTACGACCAACCCCCCCCCCTGACCACTCCGAAGCATTCGGGAATGGTTTCGGATCCTGGAGCTGACTTCTCTTCCTCAGCCGGCGGAGGGGGAGACGGTGGAGTCGGTGCTGGACTGCGGGTTGGTGCGGGGCCACGCCTACGGGGTCACGGCGGTGAGGAAGGTCCGGCGGCCGGCGTCCGGCGGGAACCCCCGACTCTTTATGGTGCGCATGAGGAACCCCTGGGGGACCAGCGACTGGAAGGGCGCCTGGAGCCAGGGGTGAGGGCGCTCCTCCTCCTTCCCACCGCCGCTCGTTCTGGCCCCCGCTGACTTCTTAACCGCGTCGGCGTGGTTTACACGCAGTTTACAATGCCACTGCAACTTTTTCTGGACAATTTCAGATATTTTACGACCGTCGGGGAATTGTTTTTACAAGGGGACATCTGCTGTTTACATTACGAAACGCTGAGAAAACTCTCAGAAAAGGGCCAAAACGGACCAATAAAGCCCTCCAGAAGTTAAAGGGGGCTGCTTGTAGATTTTTCTTTTTTGGGGTGCCACGTGTGTAATAACGGCGAGGCCCTGCTTTCTGTGGCGGGGCGCCCCCTGCAGGTCGGAGCAATGGAGGCAGCTGAGCCGGGCAGAGAGGGAGAAGATGGGGCTCATCGTCCGGGACGTCGGGGAGTTCTGGTACGAGCGTCTTCCCCGTGGTCTATTGCAGTGTTTTTCAACCTTTCTTGACTCAAGGAACATTTTTTCATTGAAAAAATAACGAGGCACACCACCAACCAAAAAGGCCGCCTATAGTAACACTATAGTTATTCTTATCTTATCTTAAGTGTCTTGAATAGGAATCAAATAAACACAAAAATGCATTTTTATCATATTTTATATTTCTTCTTTCAAATTGCACTTAACATGTCCCCTTCAATATACAAAATTATATACAAAATCTAGTCATAAGGAATTATTACATGATTACTCCAGCAGTCACTTGTACAGCACATCAAAAAATCTTTTTGGACCAATTAGGTGAAATAGGATTATTTTCTACGGCACACCTGACCATCACTCGCGGTACACTAGTGTGCCGAGGACCAGTGGTTGAAAAACACTGCTCTACTGTAGTCTCTGCCTGCAGGGTTTAATTCCCGCTCATTTCCCCCCCCGCTCAGGATGGATTTCCAGGACTTCTGCCTCCACTTCACGGACGTGGTGGTGTGCCGCTTGGTGGAGAGGGCTCTGCTGTGGCCCGGCTCCCACTGGAGGGAGACCAAGCGCTACGGGGAGTGGGCCCCGGCTCCCGGAGCCCCCCCACCCAAGGCGCTCCCGGCTCCCGGTCAGGAGGAGGTGGACGGAGCCCAGGCCGGAGGAACCGAGCGGCGGGGGAACCGGAAAGAAGCCCGGCTCACGGAGAGCCGGCAGAGGGGGGGGGAAAGCAGCACTAAGGGGGGGGGGGGCACCAGAGAGGGGGAGGAGGGGGGAGTTTGGGAGGCGCAGACGGACAGGAGGAGTCGATGCGGGGGGTGCATCAACCACAGGGACACCTTTTTGCACAACCCACAGGTATGAACCTGAACGAAAAAACTGAGAAAAAGAGCTCAAGAGTTCTGAAAACACACCCAATGACGCTTCTGGTTATTGTTTTTTTTTTTTTTTTCCAGTTCATGTTTGAGGTCAGAGGTCGCGAGCAGGAGGTGCTGATCTGCCTGCAGCAGGAGGACAGGAGGATGTGGAGGAAAAACGGAGGAGGGGAAAACCTGCCCATCGGCTTCGAGGTGCTGAAGGTGAGCAAAAACCTGACCCCCGGCCGCATTGAGGTCCACCAAAAGTGACCCCCCTAACCCACCCCCCCCTCAGGTGGAGGTGAACCGGTGCAGCCGGGTGCAGCGCGTGGCCGAGCAGGCGGCCAGCTCCGTCTACATGGACTCCCGCAGCGTGACCTGGAGGGGGGCGCTGGGCGCCGGCCGCTTCGTGGTGCTGCCCACCACCTTCCTGCCCGGCGCCACCGGACGCTTCCTGCTGCGCCTCTTCTCCCACGCGCGCCTCAGGCTCTGGTACGCCCCCCCCCCGTTTCTCACCCCGTTTCTCACCCCGAAGTGACCGGATTCTGGGTCAGCGGATGACGCCTTCTGACTTTGCTTCTCTGCTTTCTTGTTTGCGTTCTCTGTTTTTCAAGTTCTGGGGTTAAAGGAGGATTTATTCTCTTTGTGTCAGTCCGTTCTTGATTTGCTTTACATTTCTTTGCTGTTTCTTTAAAAAAAAAAAAAATTGGAACAAATTTTTTATTATTTTTTCAGAAATAATACAATGTGGTACGAATGTACATGTGTATTTTTAACATTTTTAAACATAAAAAAACAAAACACAAACACAGGGTAATTTCAACAGTGTGAGAAAGAACAAAACAAAAGAAACCTTATTGCATAATTAGTGGAATTTCTTTAAATTTTTCCTCCTAAAGTTGGAGGTTGTGAGCTCCCAGATATCTATTACAGCACTTTTTCTCAGCCACATATTCTGCTTGTACAAATCTTAGACCTTCCAAACACAACTCTTTTTTCCCCCATGAAGGGAACTGAGGGAGGACCTGCCTTCTCCCTCCTTGTTCCAGTGTTTTCTACCTCAGCCCACAGTGGTGACCACTGTCCACCTGCGCAGGGCGTCTGGACTCCGCCCCCCCAAACAGACAGGTGGACCATCTCGTTTTTTTAGCCGCTGTTGAAGGGACATCATCTGTCTTCTGTCCCGGGATGTCCCCCTCAACCAGATGTGGTGATTCCTCCTCTCTCTTTTTGAACCGACAGCTCCAGATGTGTACGCCGTGGTGCGGTGCGAGGGCGACACAATCAGGACCCGAGTGTTCAGGCAGGAGGGGAACCCCGAGTTCAACCTCAGGACCATCTTCTACCGACGATACCCCGACACGGACATCTCTGTGGAGGTTTGAGGACGTCCCCATTCGCACCCAGACAGATGAACCCCCATGATGTCATCTCAGACAGTATGTGTGTGTGTGTGCAGCTGTGGAGCAGAGGCCTGCTGTGGGACTCGCTGCTGGGCAGCGCCCGGCTCCAGCCGAACCCGTCGGAGAGGGGCCGGAGCCGGGTGGTGGACCTGCGGGGGGGCCCGCCGCGCTCGGGCTCCAGAGGCTGCGTCTACGTGGAGACGTCGTCCAGCGTCTGCCTCACGGACCTGTGACCACACCTGAGGGGCCCTCCATGTCACCCAGACTGGCTCTGAAAGCCTAAAGACCCGCTTTCTGCTGGTCTGGAGGCCCCCCTGCGGAGGTCTGCTGGTCAGACGGTCTGGTGTTTAACTGGGATTGTGCAGGTTTTCACTGTCACTGTGTCAATTTGTTTTTGTTTTTGTTTTTTTTAATACTAAACTGGATTTACATTTTTTCTACTGTTAGATACTAAGCATTGTCTTTTTATGTAACTATAAATGAATATTTCCTTTAATAAAAACTCTGTTTGGTCATTTTAAAAGGTACGAAAGCGCAAATTTATGTAATGCTGAATCCAACGAGAGGTTTCACATTAACACAAACACACATTAATAATGATAGTGATAATGATGATGATGATGATAATATGGAGTATCATTATTAATATTAGTAGTTGTAGTAGTAGTAGTAGTAGTAGTAGTAGTAGTAGTAGTATCTGTTAATATTTCTATAAAGTTAGAGTATTCCTTTTTATTCAAAGGGAAGATTTCTTTATTCTGTTAAGATTATTTTACCTTCATCAATGCCAAAATGGAGAACAGAGCAAAAAAAAAATTGACAGTGGAGTATTTTGCAATAGGATGACTGAATCATCACTAAACCCAAGACAGCTTTTAATTAAGTTTATAAAGTAGCCACTTTTTTAAATGGGGATACACTTCATGTTTACATGGGGTACAACGGCATAAAACCTTTTTGGATTGAACTGTTTCAACCAGTCAGGGACTCTGTTTCATTAGAAATATTGTAACAGTAAAGAAGCTTCTTTTTCCACCCACGTCTTAAACACGCGCTGACATTTTGTAGGTTAGATTAATGTATTTTATGGGGAAATGATCTTATTGTCGGAGGACTTTGACTCTATAAAGATCAGGACACATACCACACTTTATACCCCGCCTAATCTTAATTTAGACAGGGTGTAAATGTTCACTGCCCCCCCCCTCCGTGAACTGTGTGGAACAATTGAGAGTGGACAGCTTAAAAACTGGAGACGGGATAACAAAGTCTTTAATGGCACGCATGTAAAAGGTGCTTAAAGTGTTGCATCATGGGGACGTTTTTCAAAGGTTTGTGCAGCATCTAGCTGCCTTTGACCATTTTATTCAATTTCAAGTTCACTGAATAAATAAATGAGGACATAACGTTATAGTTTGTGTACTGATAATGGTTGTAAATTGGGTGTATTTATTCTGGACCTTTTATCCTACCCATCTCTTACATTTTCACCGGCGGTGTTTCAGTGTGTGTTTGGAGCTCCAGAGAGTGTTTAATGCCGTTTTTATGGCCTCACTCAGGCCTTATCGGTTCTCGTTTTGGTTATCAGGTCAGGGGTGCGGTTTCTATTCATAATGAAACAAAAAGTCTTTAAAGGAGACACCATTCTCTCTCGTTTTCTCTGTATCTATACATTTTTTCTTTCTTTCCTTCTTCCCTTTATTTAATTCTACTTATCTCTCCATTCTTGTACAGGACATTATTTATCACCAGAAACATACTTTTTCACACACAACACACAAAACAACACAAACTTTTTCAGCATGGAATCAATACCTTATAAAATAAACCAATATCTATTTGGACCAAATTTGGCGATTCTAGTTGTATTTTTTTTATTCGTTACAGTGTCTTCAGAGAGCGTTGCGCCACTGCTGGTGTCATTTGGGGATAGACAGTGGTCAGAGGAGGGTTAAAGTGCCCATTTCCCACCCCTCAGCTGACCTCGTGACCACTTTCCTTCCTGTCCAGACGCGCTTCCGAGGGGTGGAGGCTGTGCGTCGAGACGCAGAGAAGCAGAGCGCGATCCCGGACACTTCTGAAGGTAAGAGCAGGGTTCTCAGAGGGCTTCGACACAGAAAATCTCCTTTGTAAGGGGGCTCTGAGCCTCTGGGTCCGGACAGGAAGCCCATCGCCCCCCCCCAGAGACGCACGGCACGGCACGGCACGGCTGCGCTCCGCAGATAGAGAAAGAAAGGCGCGGCTGGAGCTGCTGGTTTTCCTGCCTGACTTGTGTTTGACTGCATTCCCTATTCAGTGTTAGGGAACAACCGTGTTTTTGTGTTTTAAAAGAAAAGTTTCACCGCTTATTTGAGTGGAAAAGGGAGTTCAAACTTGTTGCGTATTATGACAAAGTGAAAGTAAAAGCTCCGAAAATGGGATTTCTTCCAAAGTCTACAGTCTGCCTTCTGGTGTTTGGTTAATTTAGGAGATTTCTGACTGTGGACATGCGTCCAACCCTTTTTTAGTCATTCAGACTGTCACACAAAGCCGCTTTCTCCTCTCTCCACTCTTAGCAGAACATGATTTGTGACCTAATTTCCTTTGTAAATCATCTAACATTGAAGATAACCTACTCTAATGAATACTTCTGCATTTACGCCTCACATATACAAACTGCTATCTATTCAAATAGAAACAATTAAATGTAAAACAAAACAGCAGCTTCCTGTATGGCCAAGGGAAACAAATTCAAGTCTAGTTGTTTATTTTCCCTTTTTTTTTTCTCCAGACGTTCACTCGTTTTTTGCAGCCTTGAACTTCTTTTACCCATAAATGTTCGGGATTGTTGACTCGTTTTTACAGTGAAATGTTTAAATGAGTTGTGGTGTGTTGTACGTCCATGCTGTAAAGTGTTTATTTAATGGTGTGCATCAAAAATGCAAAACTCAGTGTGTAAAATCCAGCAAATGCAGCTGTGTTGTGAACATCCTTCCACTCTTGTGTGCGTCACGGCTGCAGTTCCTCGGTGTTTATGTGACTGACCCACTCGAAGAAAGCAGACACCTGTCGTGACGCCGATCAGAGTAGCTGTTTTTGTCATTCCTCGTGTTAGGTGTGAGGAATGCTGCTCTGCGGGCCGTTAAAAAACTTTATCTTCCTGCAGATTTCTTTCTCTGTGACGCTCTCGGTTGTGAGCCCCCGCTTCTGAAAATGTCCAACAACAGGCTCCTCGGGCAGATCCAGCGGCCTCCTCAACCCCCGGCGCCGATCCTGGGTGACGACGCACACACACACACACACACACACAAGTACACACACACACGTCTCAGAGTTTACGTGAAAAAAGCTATGTTTATGTTTATGCATTTAGCAGATGCTTTTATCCAAAGCAGAATATATACACGTGTATCTCCCCCTGTGGGGGGGGGAATCGAACCCCCGGTCTCCCATCTGACAGACGGGGACCCTCACAAAGCTTCAAGCTAACTTGAAGTGTTTGATTCTTTCTCCTGGCAGGATGTTCAAAGGTCCTCGTTTGCATCTTGCCGATTGCCCAGATCGCCATCGGTGAGTCACAGAACCAGAAACGGACGCCTTGTCTTGTTGTCAAAGGTGTGGAGAGGCTGTGGAACCAACAGGAATGTGTGTGTGTGTGTGTGTCCACAGGCGCGGTGCACCTGGACGACTGTCCGCGGCAGCCCCTCATCCCCGTCTACCTGGTGGTGGTGGGCGCCTTCGGCCTGGCCCTGGGCGTGCTGGCCTGCCTGCCCTGCGCCCGCCAGCCCGAGGACGGCGGGCCGGCCAACCCGCTGGCCCGCGTCTGCGCCGCCTGGAACTCGCTGACCAGCTTCTTCCTCTTCTGCTGGTTCATCACCGGTGAGCCACGGAAAGCAAAGGGCCGCGTAAACAGCCGCCGATGGGATTAAACATTAACCTCGACCCGCACGGGGTCGATACCAACCGCAGGGAATCAGGAGCTCTTTGTTTAGGCCGAGGCGTAAAAGCCAAAGTGGAGCTTAAAGGGAACTTCTTTTTTTTTAACCTATTAATTTAAAACCTTTACTCATTCAGAGGAATGAATATCACAGTTTATCTGACTGTGAGCAAACGGATGTGTTTAATGGGTGAGCCTTTTTAAAAAAAGATATGAATAGCTATATGAAAAGCACCTTTATTTGGTGAAAACAGATACACATGTTACAGTTTATGTCCAGTAACATATGAAACCATCAACACGCAAGTTAGTGGCACATCAGTTCATACAGAAATGAACTTCTCCTTACATTTAAATTCATCTTCAGTACTTCAGTTTAACAGACGATGACTCGACTTTTTGTTAGAATACTAAACAAATAGCCCTTTCTTAAAAAATAATGGGGGCAAAAAAGAGTGTATCTAATTTTAGATGCCAAAAGCAGAAACTTTATTCACTCAAATGAAAAGAAAAATGGTCCGGATTCAAAGGTGGATCTGAATGCAGCATCCCCCTCTTTTAATATTCTCCATTTTTGCTTTTGCTCTGCATACTGGATCATCTTGGTTCGGGCTCCCCTGATGGGGCCGTTTTGCATCATAACAGATGCAGGAACGTTTGGTTTCCAGCGTCCAAACAGAAAGTCTGTCCGGAGCAGAGTGAAGCTGGAACCGCGTTGACCTGCACGTCGTTTGTCTCGTGCACAAACTCATGATGAACTGGCAACAGGACACCTTTGGGAGTGCCAGCTGGAGAAGGAGCTCGGTGTAGTGACCTAAAAGAGCCACTAGGTGTCCACCTAACTCCTGTTTTCTGCTCCCAAACGGCTCCTTTTGACACGTAAAATGAATTAGAGGAGCGGTGGACGTTCGGAGCTGCTCGGCTGCAGCCGGGCTGAACCATCTGCCGGACATGTGACCGTCAGTCCCCTGAACTTCATGCCGTCTGTCCAGTTCAGGGGGTTTAACCTGACATGTGATCTGTAAAGGTGGTCTGGATCCCACCGGGTTCACTCTTTAACTTCTTCTTTAACTTTCTTCTTTTTCCATTTTCCCACAGGTAACGTGTGGATTTACTCCATCTACGAGCCCAACTACAACAAAAACACGACCAGCGTGGACCCGTTCTGTGACCGGACGCTCTACCAGTTTGCCTTCTGGACCACCACGCTGGTCTACATCCTGCTGGGTTTGTTCCTGCTGGGGGGCTTCTGCGTCCTGCTCTGCTTCTGCCTGTGCGGCCGGGCCGACCCCGACCACGAGATCTGAAAGGTTTCCGGGACGCGGATGAGACGATTGACCAGCGTCTGACCCTGAAACGGCTGAGAACTGCCCAGTGCCCCAGTGCGAGAGCCCCGCTGGATTCAGGCTCCCTCCTCCGACGATAATACGCTTGATGCTGACTAGAAACATGGCGGAGCTTTTTCTACCTCTGAGCTGTGATGAATCTGTCTGTGTGTCTTCAGCTGCCTTCATAAAACACACACCGGGTGTGTGCTTGCGTTCAGATTTTATATAGAGTGTGAGTTGAAATGATGATATTTCTGTTTTTAATCTAATAATTATAAAGCTGTGCACATTGTTAACTTCTTATAAGATTGAAACTTTTTATGGGAGGGAGCTGGCATTTAACATTTTATCACAACACATTTGAAAGTGCTAGATATAAATATGTGAACAATACAGGTTATGTACTATAAAACCGTGGAATTGCATTTAAATCCTATATGTTGTCCAAATGGAGTTTAGCAACAATAAGGTCATTGCTGCTAAAACCTGCTGTCACACTTCACCTCAAATAAACACACCAAACAGACACCAGAGAAGCCCACTGTTCACAGAGCGGTTTTTACATGTGAGCAGTTTTAGTTTAGTCCCAATTCTCCTTTTCTCTCAGCATTTATGAGTCTGCACACACAAAAACCAACAAGGCCCTGGATGTGGGAAAAGAGATGCAAACTGACCTAATTGTAACATATAGACAAAAAGAAGAAGCAAATGCCCAAAATGAAAGAAAAACGTTCCTGTTTTTGTGTGAAATGGGATGAATGTGTTAAGTGTCCGTAGCAGTTTTAATGTAATCAGCGCTGACTGGGCAAAATAAAGAAATGAACAGCAGTCTGCAATCGGAAAAACGTACAAAGGACTTTATCAGACAAGTCACGACAGCCTTGACACAGAAAATAAAATGGTTTAAAATGAGTGAAATCCATCAAGATTAAACAGCTAAAACAATAATAAAAGAAAACATCAAAGAAATTACAAGATAAAATTTGACCCTGAAATCACAAAAAACATTCGCTGTTGGGGACAAAAAATAACCACAAATCAAATCCGTCCGTTATCTTTCGGTTCAAACGGTTTAACAGAATATCTGCTGTTGCACTGAATAAAATCTGATCATTTTCTGCCACAATTATGCGGAAATATAGAATATGTTCAATTATAAGACAATGGATCTTTAATATTTTGACTATTTTGCAAATGATGAAAGAATAATGTAGCTAAAGCTGAACCATCAGGAAACTGAACATTTGAACCGGACTCGAAGTTCAGCTGAAAAGTCGAGTTATATCACAACAACGCAAAGAGAAAAATGAGTGAAAATAAGGAAAAAAAGAGGTTTTCTCTGACTCTTATGTTGGACCAGACTAAATAAAGGGAAAGATCAATGATCATTAGGAAGTGATCAGGATTTCTGTAGCTTTGGCTACTTCAGCTTTACATTTCCTTTTATTTCCCTCATGGTTATTGAGTTATCTTCCCCGTTACAAAGGGCCCATATTCTCCTCTTCATCGGTTTCTCATCACAACTTCTGCCTGTCCCAGCTTTTATTTTATTTTTCCGGTCAGTGCCTTGTTTTCCCTGCCTCTTTTTTTTCCTTTTTGTCACATCGGTAAAATCCTCGCCTCCTGCCTTTTGGTCCTTGGACACAGAGGTGTCTGCACATTCTGTCCCTGCAGCTTCTCAGGACACCGAGCGTCTTTGCCTTTTCTCGCCCTAGTTTATCGTCTCATGTTGTTGTTTTTTTATGGGGAAAATGAGGAAGACATGCTTAACTTTCCCCAGAAGCTGTGTATCATCATGTGTATTTTAACAGCAATTCTGTTTAATATATAATACAATTTACATACAAAGTGAAGCATTCAATGAGAGACGTAGCTTTTCACAACCATATTCTTACATGTTAACTATCTTACAGGATATTGTCAGAAACCCGTCCACTCTTAGGATCTCTGTTTCCCTTCAGGGCTGCTTTTCTGCAGGTTAGGCTGTCTGGTCAGCAGGATTTACGGGAAAGGATGTCCAATGCTTTGGCGTGAATGGGCTTATAGAGGAGGGTGAAGCTGGAGGGGCTCAGGTGACTTTTGCCCTCTGGGTCGACTTTTCCCATCAGCACGTAGTTTTTTCCTGGATAGGAAATCGGAAAAAAAAGTCACATCAGCATGGAGTAAATATCACACCATCCATACGTGACAAATCGTCTGTTTTTAGGGATCATTTACATAATTACTAACTCATATTGATACTTTACTACTCTGTGTATCACCTACATTGCTGCCTTTTAGCAAAGAATCACGTCATTAACCCATAATATATATCTCAGAACAGAAAAGTCCCAAATAATGTGTGGATATAATCAACTCCATGATGAGAAACATTGAGTCCTGAACGACTAAATGTGTCCATAGCTGCCTGAACTAAATATCAGATTCATCACACAAAGCCAAAATCTTAATTCTCTATGCCCTCTGAAGCACTTGTGGCCCTCACATTGATTGCCAGGGCGCAGACAAAGGCTAGCATGTGGCGTTTGGGCTTAGTCAGAACATTTCCCCGTGTTGAGACGGAGCCATGAGCACCAAAAGCACCAAAAGCAAAGATCCAACAGAGCTGGACAGCGAATACAGAGCAGCGTGTGATACCTTTGACCAGGCCGGGACATCTCTTGCAGTCGGAGGCCAGCGTGACCGACTTTATGGGTCCTGTTTTCACGATTTTGAGGCTTCCTGTCTTGTAGGTCTTGATCAAGGATACATCGACCGTCACCGAACCCATTGGACCAGCAGACAGATTTGTTATCCTACCCGTAAACACTGAAGGGAGACAAAACATCAGAGGTTACACATGCTTACACCATAAAGAATAAAAAAAGTCTTTTTGAGTTTTCTGGATGTGCAGCTCACCAAAGTCATGAGGGCAGAAGCTGGACTGGAGCGTTCCGGTTCTCTTACAGGGCTGCGTGCACATCGGGTTCAGAGGCAGAGCTGCACACAAAGCACAGGGGGGGGGACACGGTAAGGACACCACCCAAAGGGGGAGACTTCCCAGCCTTTACGGCCCACTCACGCTTCTTGCTGACTGGGGGCTTTTTGGTCGCCGTCCTGCTGGGTCCCGCCGGTTTGGGGGACGGCGTGGGCTTGACTTTGGGTTTGGCGGTGGGTCTGGCTGCAGTCTTCGGGGTGGGCTTCAGAGGTTTGACTCGAGGTCTCATGGTGGGCTTGATCACCATGGGCTTGCGCGTGGACTTGGTCCTCAGGCTGGGTTTGACCGTAGGCTTCATTACCTTCATCACCTTCGTCCTGGTTCCTGGTTTGACGGTGGGTTTCCTCGCTGGGGGCTTGGGCGTGGGTTTGGCTGGTTTGGGCTTGGGCGTGGGTTTGACCGCGGGTTTGGGGGTAGGTTTACGCAGCGGGGGTTTCTTTACCAGCGGAGTCCTCACCGGTGGTTTTTTCACCGGTTTGGAGGTCGGTTTGGGCTGGAGACCTGGTCTGGGCTTACTGGTTGGCTTAGGTGTTGTTTTTGGAATCACTTTGGGCGGTTTGGTTGGTTTAGGCCCAGGTTTGGGAGACGGTTTAGGACTGGTTTTAGATGTTGGTTTGACGGGTTTCCTTGGCGTGATGGTTGGTATGCGTGGCATGGACGTGGTCTTAGGCCCGTAGATGAAGTCTCCCCCGGCGGTGGGTCTGCGGGACCCCCGGGGCACGCTGGAGTAGTGGGCCATGAATCCATCTGAAGTCACACTCAGATCAGACACAAACTGGACGAGGAGTTCGTTGCCGTTGGTCACTATGGTCCTGCACGAAGAATGGGACAAATTAGAGCAACTCAGCCGGGAATCGCTTCTTTATTTTTGCCCACACTAACAGTAATCTAACCCCGGGGGTCTGTCTCCACAGAATTTCCCAATCCTCCTGGAGTCGTCGGTCTCCCCGCCGTTAAACAAGGCCACGTAGTCATAGCGACAGTAGGTGTCGGGCTCCAGATCCATCTTGTCGAACTTCAGCTCAATCACCTGGAAAATAGGCAGCAGCACAAATTAGGGACGTTGTGACGGGGGATTGGAGCCGGCACATGTTTATTTCTGCCTGCAGACACAGCCGGGGGAGGTGTTTCCGAACACAGAGGGGCATTTATCCCCCTCTTGCCCTTGGTTCATTCCTCGTTTCCTTGAGTTCAATCTCTTGGCAGACGCGAACTGGCCAGCAGGCGCTCAATGAGGTCTTTCATTTGAATTCATGCTGTCACACTCGCTCTCGCAAACAAAATTACATAAGGTACATTAGGATGGATGTTTCCCTGTGAAGGGCCCCCTCCCTAAGAGAACTGATCCCCTTCCTCCACCAGAAGCACGCCTCGTTTTACACACCAACAAGTCGAGTCTGACTCGGATTTGACTTCGGTTTGGCCGATCGCTCGTCCTCTTAATGTGACTGAGCGGGTTTGAAGCAGTGATCTGGTTCAAGGCTCAAACATCCGACACCTGAGCAGTTCAGGATTAGTTGTTGGGACAGGAATAGTTCGTAAAATGGTGACTACATTAGACACAACATGAGGCAGGGGGCCACCAGTATGTGGTGTTGATACATCCTGTACTACAGGACAGACATAGACTCCCATGTCGGGAATGAATCTCAGTCATTTATTTCCACTTTACATGTACCAACTGCTGAGTTTAAAAAAAAGAAAGACGATTGTGAGGAGCAGTACGATCCGCTTACATTACTGGGCTCTACGGAGATGTGCCAGGAGCAGCTGATACCTGCTGGGTAATTGGAGTTGGGCCAGTTGGGCGTCTTGACAGAGCCGTCAGGTTTGGTCAAGCGACCTCCGCAGAACTGGTCCTCTGTGGGAGTAAAGAAGAAAACTGACCCAAAAGAGGTTAAACGGAGCGTTCATCCCAGAGTTTCTGGACTGATCAGAGAATCTGAGTCAGCTCTGAGGCCTCAAAGGAAACAGAACCCCCTCCAGAATTGGAAATGATTCTCTGGAGATGGGGAAAAAAAACATCTCAGAGCAGAATTTTGAACGGTGTCCCTGTGGCCACACCTTCCATGTGCGGCTTCCCGGCGTTGAAGGAGGCCAGAAAGCCCCTCCCCCCCGTGGCGTCGTCCGACACCATCTCCAGCATCATGGTGTTGGAGGTGGAGATGAGCGCGCCGGGCCTGAAGGTCCCGCAGAAGCGGCCCAGCTTCTGCACCAGGCGGGAGTGGCCGTTGTAGACGTCCAGGTAGTCGTAGCGACAGGTGGGGTCGGCCTCCATGTCGAAGAGACGGAAGGAGAGCATGACCACGTGACCCTCTGGGACCTGCGGGGGCGAAGAGTAGGAGAGGAAGTCACCTTTTTTCTATCGCCCGCGTTGGTGGAAAATTGAACATGAACACAGGTTTTTGCGGTCGGTATCAAGAACGCTGAGTCCTACTTTAAGGTGGAGCCTGTCATTATCATTAACTTCAGAGAGGGCAGATGACAGATGCTGCCATAGATTTTAAACGTTAGTTTCGTTCAAATTCAGAAATGTATCTAAATATTTGTCTTTTCTGTCAAGAATACATTATTCAAATTGTTTTGTACTTTTTTTTCTTGACAGAATCAGCTCAAAATCCCCCCCAAAATAGAAGGTATTTAAAAAAAAGACATTTTCAGTGGAAGTGGGCTGCTCCACTCACAGTGATGTACCAGATGCATTTGCTGTTGGGTTTGTAGTAGCTGGGGAAGCCTTCGCTGGCCACGATGCCGGAGTCTGTGACCAGGTGGCCTCCGCAGGGGAACACGGGCCTGAAAGACAGACGGGAAAAAAACTGCCGTGGTGACGTGCGACCAGAAGGAAACGCGACCCGCCCGGTGCTGCCTCACTGAGGGGTATTGAGGCCAAACCCTGAGCAAGCAAACGTTCACGCACACGCTGAGGGCCACAGTGGCAGTCTCTGTTCTCGGAGGGGCGGGTTCCCAGTTTGCCCTCATGGTGTGTGTGTGTGTGTGTGTGTGTGTGTTTTGTTTTTTTCTTTTTGCTACATTTGGCCAAAACCAGGCCAGAAACACCGTGGATATACAGTACGAGTGCTGTGTGGAAGATTGTGAGGAGGCACAACTCGGGACGGCAAAGTGGCCCCTTCTGCAGACACACACACACCCCTCCGCTCAGATAAACACTCATCAAAGCCGGGACGTCCTCAGCTTTTAATTTAGTCACCAAGCACATGTTGAGCATTTTTTACTGTCCGCCGCCTCGGCACCTGCCCACTTTTTTTGGAAAATCAGCAGATTTGTTTGCCCTGAACTCTGTTTCTGTGATCGTGGGTTCGTTTTTTTTCCTTCAGGGAGGCCTTGTGTGCCTGTTGCGGTGCCGTATGGTCACATCTGGCCGAGTATCCGGGCTGGTGGAGTCCCTCCCTTTCAGACCCTCTGGAGCTGAGCAACCCACAGGCATTTGTTTGTCTCGTTCAATTTACAACCTGCGAGTGTGCTGTTGCGCACCGAGGTTTAGACAAACAGCTCCGAGAGCTGGCGCTCGAGCCCACGATGGGTAAAATTAGCTGAGCGGGATCGTTTTATTTCACAAAAGGCCGCACTTCACTTGTCCAGTTCATTCCCCACATGCTGTTATTTTGTCCGCCTGTGCTTAAAGGAGGAAAACCACAACTTCCTGAGACTGAAATCTTCGATTTCTCTTGGGGATCATACTGTAGTAAAGCAACACTCGCAGACCTGAGCATGAGAAGGTTTTGCCCTGAGGCAAAAAACAGATTCAAACCAGGTACATTGCACACAGAGGCTCGGACACACCTACCTGGGGTCAGTGATGTTAGGCTGACTCTGAGCATCCGTCCGTCCGGAGAAGGCCAGAGAAACCAGCAAAAGGCACACAGTCCACACCCTGTCCTCCATCCTGCTGTCCTCCGAGGTTAGGAAAGACGGGAGGGGAGAAGGAGAAGGAGAAGAATCAGGAGGGAAAGGAGGGAGAAGCCGAGCGGAGGCGGGGAGAGATGTTGAGGATTGGAAGGGGAGGAGAGTTGACGACTGGTAAGGTGGTCAGCAGTGGAGGGAAAACCTCAACATTTTGCTGCTAAATATTAACTTTTTTACGGCCGGGATCAGCTGATCAGCAGATCAACAGGTGGAAAATGTAGAATATTGGAAAGACGTGTTCTAAACTGTGTATCAGCACCACCTCCCTGCACAGCATATCTACAGGCTGCTTTCCTAAAATTAGCTGTTACTTTGTTCCAGATTAAATAATGTGATGGATGACAATGAATTGATTTACTTAAAGCTTGAAAACTTTTCAAAACATGGAAACATTTAACCGAGAGGTAACATGACTCTTGTTGTGTAAAACGCTTGATAAACGGCACTTTTTGTTCCCATAGAGTGTATATGAGGTTAGTTAATCATGTATTTAAGTCATGAATACACCTACTGTATGTGTCTTTGTTGTGGTTCACTCCAAAAACAGCTTAAGTTAACTTAGCTTTGTGATATTAGACGCAAAAGAATTTATTAGCAGAGTCAAAGCATTTCATGAAACTGTCTTGTTTTTACTTTATATAACATTGTTTTACACATTCAGAAGTGTGAGGTTGGGTGTTATAAGGGTATGAACACATCATCAGTTTGCATGTGAAGTGCATTAATAGTTTTATCTTGTTTTGTCTGACAGCTTTGTTATGAAGTCTCATCTCCTCTTAACACAAACCAGGTTCATAAGGTTCATGCACCAACCAGATGTTCCACTGAAATATGTTAGTGTGAAAGCGGAAGGCAGGAAAAGGTACGGATCTGCATGATTATGATTCAGATTTAGGATGAGGAGATCCTCTCAGAGCTAGTATGAATAGAAAAAGGCATGTAATGTAAACAAAGCAACTTCACATTTTCAGTTGGAAAATTTGAGAACATTAATTTATTGTTATTCATAATTATTATTTTTTAGTATATTCCATAAGCAAAACCTTTGTGTTGGAGTTAATAAGCTGCAATATGGTGGCTTTGTCACTATGAGAATGTTAGCATGCTGACGTTAGCTCAAAGTCCTCTAAATGTTGCTCTTTTACTTTGAGAAACTAGAGATTAAATTCCTTTTACAGGGAATTTCGGAGGGGCGAACTGCTTGGAATGATTTGAGTGCACAAAAGAATGAAAAATACACAGATGAAAATAGTCATCTGACGGGAATCCTGACCTAAAGGTTGAGAAATCCTAAATTGTGCATCAAAAATCCTCTTTGTTTTGGCACATACCGATGTGTCATTATTGTAAAAATAGGTTTTGATTCAGTGCCACTTTAATGTTTTTAGTTTATTAACACTAGCCGTCTCATAATGCAACCCACACGCATTACGACCATTACTGTAATCACAATGTGAAGTAAAACTTTGTGTTTGTCCAAAGGAGAACATGCCTTTGTCTTTTTTAAGCTGCGGTGACCACTTAGGGTTGAAACCACAGTTGCATAGAAGGAGACTGCGGTCGGGTAGGAGAGCAGCTGCCCTGATCTGCTCCCGGCTCCCACTTCTTTCTGGACTCTTCTGTGTACCCCGGCCAACTGCTGCAAAACACCCACAGACCGAAATAGCCTGCAGGGAGCGGTGTAAAAACTGACTGTGCTGCGGAATAAAAAAAGACCCAGATCCGGCTTCTCATTTCGAAGGCAATTCAAGTCATTTTATTGTCACCTTTTTTTTGTACAAATAACTTCACAAAAATATTAAACTGTAGACGCCACCGACGCCGAGAAGCATGGGTTATTATCACATGACCGGAGCGGTGCCACACAGAGGAAGAGAAAGAAAGTGACACAGAGGTAAAGATAGTTGATGCTCAGGGAAACCCACCCGTGTCTGTTGCCGAGTGTTTGGGGGAAGAGAGTCCGTTCGGCCCGGGGCTTCAGAAGTCTGTGTGGATTCTCCGCGAATGCTCCAACTAAAAAGGTGCAGGTCCGTTTTCGTAGTGCTCCGTTCGCGGTGCTTCGAGAACGGGGTCTCTGCTCTAGCACGCGTCGTCCCATTTCATTTAGCGGGTTCACAACAACGGAGGCTCTTTAAAAACCTTTTTCCTCACATCTTTGACAGAGTTTTTGGTGCGTTTCTATTTCATCTATTTCATTTGTAGGCGATTCAAGTACAAAAATATACACAATGTTTAGAAAATTACATGTTTCACACTGTACACTTGCTCAACTAAAACTAAGGAGGTCCTTTAGTTATTTAGACATGCTTTTTTTTTTTTTTTACAAAGAAAGTTTTTTTTATCCCCCATTGGGTTTTAGGTTAAAAAGAAACATTCAGTACAGAGAAAGCTGGACCCTGGACCCTTAGGGAGGAGTTGGTCTTTCTGCAGAGGTGCCTTTCTGTAACACATTCGTCGCAGTCCGCTCTGTTTTCTCAACAGCGTAAATAAATATGCTTACAAGAACAGCAAAAAGGAGGAAAAAGAACCAGGTCACTCTAAAAAAATAGAGTGGTATCCGTTGTGCGCTTTCACCCGCAGTCCCGCCACGTCTCAGGTGGCCGGCAGGCGCCTCGGCGTCCGGCCTGTCCGGCCGGAAACGGCCTTTATCTGGACTGATATGCGCCTGGACGTCCCCCGCGGAGCCCCGACTCTGGAAGCAAAACCGTCCTGCACGTCTGCAGGACGGGCGCGATGAGCACAGAAGCTCCTCCCACGTTTAGGTGTCTGCCTTTTGGCCCGCGGCCACTGAGGTGGCGCCGGGCGCTTTGCCTTCCTCCTCCCCCTCCTCCTCCTCCTCCATCCCGGGCTGGGCCTCGTCCATGGCCGCCTCTGCGAGGCTCGGGTCGGCCTTGCTCTCCCCGTGGGCCTTCAGCACGGCGCAGAGCTCCATGTCGTGGATTTCCACGTCGAAGGGGGCGACGGGGGGCACGCAGGGGGGGCTCTTGCAGCCCACGCAGCCCTGGAGAGCAAACAGGAAAAAAAAAAAGGAAGCGGCGGTTAGTTCAGAGCTCCGCCGCACTGGGCTCCTGTGGATGTGGGCGGGGGGGCGTAGGGCGGGGGCTTACAGAGATGTTGACGGCGCGGGGCAGGCGGCCCGTGCGGATCCAGGGGTGGACCTGGCTCAGCTCCTTCTTCTGCTCGTCCGTGAAGCGGGGCTGGTGTTTCTGCAGGTTCCGCAGAGCCTCCCGGTCCTCTCGCAGCACCGTCTCCACGTCCCTGTGGGCCGGAGGGACACAACATGTCAGATCGGTCTGGATCCGGGTTTGCCTCAAGTTGCAGTTCTCGGGGCCGAGCGGTTCTCGGGGGGCCTACCTGACGGGCAGCTGGTAGGTCATCATGACTTTGTCGTCGGTGTTGGCCATCAGCAGCCAGATGGGGTCCTGCAGGACGCACTTGATGAACTGCTCCTCGCCGCCGTCCCCGCCGCCGCTGCTGCTGCCCCCTGCTGGCTGCTTGCGGGAGTGGTCGTTCTCCGAGGAGTCGATGCTCCCAAAGTACTTGCTGGTGTGGCTGCCGCCTGCGGGGACAAGAGGACAAAGCTCTCCTTTAACGGGGCCGACTGGGTTTGCCGAGAGTCTCCGTCTGAAATATGCTTGTTAGGCAGATTTCTAGGAGTTACAGTTGGATTTCAAATCATTGACTGGTGAGGAAGGAGCTCAATAAACCTGTGTACTCACTGGTTCCACTGGTGCCAGAGGAGCTGCAGCCATTGGAGCCGGAGCCCGAACCCGAGGACCTGGTGCCTGAGGACCCGGAGCCGGAGGCGGCCGAGCCGGTGCCTGAGCGGGAGTCCTCCTGCAGCAGCAGGTCCAGCAGGTCGCTGGAGGTGGACATGGCGTCCTGGTTGGACTCGTTGGTTTCCCCCTACAGTCGGAGATCAAACGGGCCATTTATTAGCATGCTTCCAAATATGTGATCACGCTTTTTTTACATTTTGTAAACAAAACGAGAGCAAACGGCCCCCCCAGCTGGAGTGCTTACATTCTCATTCTCCTTTGACGTGTCGTCAGAGCTCGTCTGATTGGCTGAGCTCTGCCCCCCGGCGCCGCCCCCCTGCGCAGATGGCGCGGTTTGCTGGGACGCCGCCAGCGCCGTGGCCACCTCCAGGCGGTTGCTGGGCAACTCCTCCAGCTGCAGCAGGTTGAGCGGGGAGGAGCAGCGGGACTGGAAGAGGGGGGACTCCGCCCCCTCCCGGTCGGCGGGCATCTGCGTGCAGGACTGAGGCGTGCTGCTGCGGGACGGGGCGCACGGCGCCGAGGCCGCCATGAGGTGGGAGACGTTGGCCATGGGGGCCGGGAGGACCGGGGGGGCTCCGGGGTAGCTGTAGTTGGGGTTGTAGAAGGGTCCCGGGGGGGCGGCGCCCTGCTGAGACATGGCCGCTCCCATCTGGGGGAACATGTAGTTTGGCAGAACCAGGGCCATCATGGGGGGGACCATCTGGGCGGCGGGGAACCGGGACGGGTCGGGAATGGGCAGGGGCTGCGCCATGGGCGGGTAGATGGGGTAGAGCGGGAGCATGCCGGAGGCAAACGGAGACGGGGGGATGCTCGCTTGCGAGCCCAGGGAGGGCCAGGAGGAGGAGTTTGTGGGAGCGCCGAGGGTCATGCCCAGCGGCATGGGGGCCGCGCCGGCGCGGGGGTCCTGGCGAGCCCCGGGAACGCCCAGGGAGCTGCGCGGCTCCGAGGACTCCTGGTGTTTGAGCCTCTTGCCGCCGCGGCCCCGCCGGTGGACGGAGCTGCCTCCCGCTGCGGGGTAGTCCCGAGAGCAGCGCACGCCTGGGGAGAGGAAAAGGCATCAGACATTTTCCCTACACACACACACACACACACGATTCCCCACATGCCCACGGGATTAACAACGCGTCCGTACCTCGCGGCGGAGCAGCGGGGGTCTGGCAGCGCGCGGTGGAGGACGCCGTCTGATCGAAGACGCGCAGCTTGCTGAGGTCCTTGAAGCGGTCCAGGAAGGCCTGCTCCTCCTGCTGGGTGTGGGCAGACAGCACCTCCTTGGTGAGGCCCAGCCGGCCGCCCCCCACGCTCCCGCTCCTCCGGCTGTCGCGCTCCGCCTGAGCGGCCTGCGGCTGGGGGGGCGGCGGGGGGGGAAGGGGAGGAGGGCAGTGGGCGATGGCCATGCTGGTGGCCGGCGGCGGCGAGCCGCTCGTGGGAGGGGGCGGGGCGGCGGCGGCGTTGAAGGGGGCGGGTGCAGCGGTCGGAGTTGTTGGTGCGTCTTCCATGACAATGTCTGTTAGGGAAGAGGATGATGACGGGTGTTATGAGACAAAAAAAAGGAGAGAAAAGAGTTAAAAAGGTAGGAAAAATAAATATGCACATGAAAACGTTTGATACAGTTTCATACAGTTTGATACATTGCCCCCCCAACAATATCTATTCCCATTAAACCTCCAAACTGAGTGTATAAACATTCAAACATACTCAACAAGTGGTGTTCTCATTCATTACACCCGTTTTCTTTTTGTCTCTCACAACATTTACCACAGATTCTGGTTAAGGTTTGCTTTAGGAAACCAAAACGCCATAATAGTCTTGATCCAGTACAGATTGTAAACTCTGCCTGGTTTTTTCTGGTGAATAGATGTTCTTGGATGCTTTCTCATCATTTTCACCAAAACAACTTCCTCCCCGATACCATTTTACAAGGGCACCGTCATAACAGTGTGAGGAGGGGTCAGCCAGGCCGTGGAGACAGCTTGACTGTGCCAGACTTTCAAGGATAAACACAGATACCAGCCGAGTGAGTTTGAGATTCTTCATTCCTTGTGTTACAGCTACAAGAGCCTCTGGCATCATTGAGCCTCGCAGAGGCAGAAATTGGAATGAAAATCCGTTTGGGTACAAGAAAATCTGGACAAAGGGCTAAAGTTCCCCTCCAGTTACTGTTTAATCGTGTGGTAATTCACTCTTATTACAACTGTTATTGACTTGTTAATTAAAGAAGTTTCTTTTTCTTGACTGTGGCTGGAAGAGAAGGTATTCTGTGAGTTGAACGATACCAAAAAAAACAAAACAATGGAAGCACTTGGATGATTTTTCCCGTCCTGGACCTGTTGAGAGTGTGAGTGCTGACGGTGCCCACCTGACTCGGGAGGCTTCTTGTCTCCTACATGGACGATGGTGCTGCTGAAGCTACACTGAGACGTAACTGAGGCTACACTCTCTGCCTTCGTGGCCATGGTCAGAGGAGGCAGAGGAGGTGGTTCACCTACAAGGTTTACTGAACCACCTGGGGAGAAATTGGCGTCACAGTTCAGATATAAACAGACACATGAACAACCAGCTTTGTTAGTCTCAACAGGCAAGTCAAGCTCACACATTTGAACCGTAGGAGGAGATGGTCAGCTAAGTTTATTCGGCTTCTAATTGCTCTTAGTTAAATTAACATGGCATCTCGTGCCGCTTTGGCATCGGGAAGTACCTTTGCTGTTGCCGCTGACGTCCGGCTGCCTGTCCTCGTCAGAGGTGGAGGTGCAGGAGGAGGAGCCGCACTTCCTCTTGACGGTGTTGGGAATGTTGCAGCTCTCCAGGTACCTGTGCAGGAAAAGCCCCGGGGTGAGCGGGATGCCGGCGACAAAACGGAGCCGGACGGCGCGGCTTCGGCCGTGTGCACCGACCTGATGATGCTGTCCAGGCAGTTGATCTGCTGGTAGGAGTAGCCGGTGGTGGGCTCCTTGGGAACCAGCGACGCGGGGACCAGCGCCCGGGGGGGCTGCGTCATGTCCGCCGCCAGGCCTCTGAGGGGGTCGCTGCAGATGGCTCTGACGTTTGCTGCCCCTAGGGTTAAGAAGGGGGCATTTTTAGGGTCTGAAGACACTTTTAGCCAACTGCAGCTGTGCTAAGTGGGACCGGCTGCCTGGAAAACTCACCAGCGCCGGGGTTTTTTCGTGGTGGTGGGCGGTTGCGAGACTCGATGAAAACCTGCTGCCCGTTGGTTTTGACCATGTGGACGTCTTTGCAGATCTGCTGAAACGTCATCTGGAGAAAAACACGCCGTCCGACAAAGTTAAAAAGGAGGCCAATCGTGTGCTGATATGTGAACCTGATTTAGATTGAACCCCTTTACATCTCAAAGTAGGGGGGCGCAGCCCTTCAGGGGCTCTAGTTCCTGTTTTAGCACCCCTTTAGCTCTGTGCATTCATGGGGCTGAGGTCTCAGGGCCGCTACAGGAGAGCTTGCTCGGTTTGTAAAAGCATGGATGCTTGCACAAAACCCTGACTTTCGTCTCTGGGAGTGTTTTTCTGGGCGTGTTTTGTGACTCACGGGTTTGTGCAAAGTGACGGCGGTGGCGGCGCCTTCGTCCATCGCGGCCCCGTTGCTGTCGCTGGACGAGGCGGCCGAGGCACTCAGGTGCTGCTGGTGGGAGCGGTGGGAGCCCCGCGAGCCGCTGGAGCCCAGCGAGCTGTAGCCCTGGGAGCTGCCGCTGTGCACCGGCTGCGCCAGCACCCGGTGGATCTGCTCGCTCAGCTGGACGATGTCGGGCGTGGTGACGCGGCTCTCGCTGCCGCGCGGCATGGAGAACACGTCCTCGTTCAGGGGACTCCTGGAGACGGAGGGGGTTAGGGTTAGTTTAATACTCAGGTCTGTGGCTGAACTGTATTTTTACTTCGTGCGGCCACATCTGACTATCAAAGACGCGTCTTCCTTCTGTCTGAGTGCTTGTGATGTAACAGACTGATGACTAACGCACATCACTCCCACTCAGGGCACTACGCTCTAATAAAAAGACTATAAACAAGTGTTACCGCACACTTGTTTTTCTGCACGAATACCAACAGTAAATAAGCATGCACAAAATGTACATTTTTGCTGCCTGATTTTCCCCCTGACGGGACAATAAAAGCTTTTTCCTTTCCATTCCATTCTGAAAATGATCCGTGTTTCTGAATACTTTCTGCTTATGAGACGTAAGAGAGAGAAAAACTTACGTTCTGACTTTGTGGCGCCCGACAACAAATGCCACCTTTCTGCTCCAGGGGTTGACGAAGGAGGACCAGCTGGTGTCGATGGTCAGGTACTCCCCGTTGCGGGCGCACATGCGCAGGGGCGAATATTCAAACGGTTGCCCTGCAAACTGAAAGACTGGGGGAGAAGAAGAAGAATTCAGCACGTTAACATGTTATTCCTGCTTTACACACATTTAATTTAGGTAAAACCACCCTCAACCGTCTATATTAACTTCTCTATTGACAGACACCTTAAAATCTACACTTGCTGGTAGGCAGATGATTTATACATTTAATTCATTGGTGGTATCAGACTCACTCTTCTCGTGAATGGCCACCAACATGGGCCTGTCCTCTGGGTGGACGCAGAGCAGGATGGGGGTCCCCACCAAGTCCTGGGGCAGGTAGCCCAACAGTGGCACTGCCCTGCAAACGAATCACACGGCTCATTTAATATGCATCCAAAGAAGACTAGCTAAAGGCTGCGGGCAGAAGGCAGGCGAGCAGTAACCATAGCACCAGAGGAAAGAACTGACCGCTCATCGACTTCTTGGAAGAGGCAGCTGGGACTGTGACTGGTGGTGAAGATCCTCTTGTCAGGAGGGATACGAGGAGCTAATGGGTGGAAATTAAACAGACAGCAGTGGTGAGCAGGCTATGCAGGCTGGCTGAGTACATGGCAGACATTTTGAACAAATAGTAAAAGGTCAATTTGCATTTGTAAAGGCATTTGGTCTGCGTATGATCCATATTCAGAGAAATATGCTCCTCCAGAATTAACCAGCGGCACACAGTCTGTCCCTTCTACTATTACCCGTCCCTACATGGGGGCCTGAGGCGCAGCAGAAATATTTCCACCGAAAGTCTGAAATAGATGTCAGACTCTGCGGTTTTAGTGCTATGAGCAGATGCCTGTTCATAGCACCGAAACGAGATTTTTTTTTTGCTCGGTTTCGTTTTGGGACGAGTTGTTTTGTTGTTCGATGAGTCACTTCCCCCCCACATGTCTGTGCCGGCAACAGGAGGGGAGGGGGAGGGAAGCCAAACCGCCACCCAACTCAAATCAGACCAAATCAAAGCGGCGCGTCAAACAAACGAGCGCTAGAAGTCAGCTGGCGCTCGTGAAGGGGGCCCTGAACGGCCCGTTTTGCAGGTGTGTGAGGGCGTCCCTTCGTCGCGTTTCTGCTCTCTCCAAACAACCATTTGCTCGTGTGAGATGTTCGGGCTGGGTCACGTACCCTCGTATCCGGAGTGGACCTTCTCGGCGAGGAGCAGGCAGCAGGGCTGCGGCTCGGCGTCGTCGGAGTCTCTGAGGGTCAGCTGGTAGGGCGTCAGGCGGAACGGGGAGTAGCGCATCTCGCTGCCCCTGGCCCGGTCGGCACTGAGCCGGCAGAACATGGACTTCTCCTGCGTGCAGTCGACGGGAGGAGAGGCTGCGGGAGGTAAAGTCGGTCAGTACAGGAGCCCCTGCGTGCCTTCCCTTCCCTGCGTGGGGGGATGGGGGGGTTAACTCACCCGAGCCGATGCAGGAGGCCCAGGAGGGCAGGCGGCAGGGCGCCGTGCCGCTGTAGAAGGTGCTGACGTCCTGCGGGGCCAGCAGCTCGGAAAACATGGTGCCCTGCAGGAACTCGGGCTTGCAGCGCAGCAGGGAGGAGCCCTGTGGGGAAATGTACACCACTTTCCCCGACAGGAAGGACACCGCCATGGAGAAGGTGTCCTGAGGAGCAGACAGGAGGGAGTGAGACTCGTTTGTCCTGCCAGTGCTCTCACCATGTGACAACACGTTATTTACAGTTCAATTAAAAGACGGAGAGTTAACTGTTACACTCACAGTGTTTTTCAGCGTGTACTCTGAGGTGATGTTGTCCAGCTCCTCGATGGTGAAGGTGGACAGGTCCAGGCTGCAGCCGTGACACTCCTCCACACTCCACTGATGGTAGTACTCCTTGTTGGCTGCAAAAATGAAAGATTTCGCCGTTACAAGGTTGAAATGTGAAAAAGCTTTCGTTACTAATAGACTCAGCCACATATGCCTCCCTCGGGGAGGTCTGGGCCCTCACCTCGAACTTGTCTGACACACTGAAGTGCGTATTTGAGGGCGCTTAAGGTGCTGGAGTGGCCCTTGGTCTTGCGCTCAGCTGGCAGGCGGAGCTTGAGCTCCTTGATGGCCTTCATCAGCTCCTTCTGCGTCTGGAGCCGCGCCGACTGGTCGCTGCTGCAGCCGGAGGTGGAGGGCGGGTCGTGCTCCGAGCTGGTGGACAGCAGGCTGTAGGCCAGAGAGCCGCCGGGAGGCGACAGACTCTGTGAGTTGGAGCTGCTAAGGAGTTAAAAATACTTTGAGCATCTCCGCTCTTTGTGAGCGAGCCAAGACAAGAATGCAAATCTGCTCTGAATGTGAGACTTCTTTGTTCACTGTGCACGGAGCACATGCTCAAACTGGTGTTACATGTGCTCTATATGCTATAGAGCATCCTTAGATCAGATGACTAAGAGCCTCAGTTTGAATGTACAGTCCTTAAAATCATCATTTTTATCAACATTTGGCGCCAGCAGATTACATCAAATCACACTCCAACTAAATGTGACGATTCCTGTATCTTTATTTTATCATTACTGCAACTGAATTCTTTTTTAAAATTTCACCTGAACGGCCGAACTGCTGCACGTCAATGTTCCTCCGCCTGTTATGCAACCAACTGTAAAAGCGCCGGGCCGGAGCTGGCTTTTTCTCTGACTGATGTGAGGTGTTGTGTGATCGGGGACTGTCTCTCACCTCTTGTGGCTCTCCGTTGTTTCCAGCATCATGCCGGAGTCCTTCCCGTTGGAGGAGCTGAGACTGCGGGAGCTGCGTGACGACTGGTGTCTGCACGGCCTGTTGTCCCGCTCGCCCGAGTCGTTCCCGCTGGACACCCCGTCCATGTCGTCCGAGTTGGGCCCCCTTTGGTCTCCGGACCGGGACCCCCCGTCGGGGGAGGAGCCCCCTCCGGAGCTGCTCCCCTGCTCCTGGGAGATGGCATTGGGCCTGGGCTGAGCGCCGCCGCTCTGCAGGCCTAAGAGCTGTGACTCCGCCTGGAGCTGGTCGTCTTCAGCCGCCGCCACTCCCCCCTGAGTGCTGCTGCTGGGCGTGGATGTGGAGATGTCATAACTCATACTAGAGTAGGATGAGGCTGGGACAGCTTGATTGGAGCGAATCTGGTTCAAGTGGGACTACTGTTTACGTACAGGTGAATCATAGCTGTTGGTTGTTTTTAGAGAAGAAAAAAAGAAAAATGGAGAAATTCTTTATCCTGCAAAACAAAAAACAGAAGTTTGTTTAAGAGTCAGTACCTGTAAAGCCCTTTATAAGAGTAGACTGCAGTAAGTTCACAAATCACACAAAAAAAGCTTGAATTCTAACCTTCAGTTGTCGCTCAAGTCTCTGTCCACCAGATGAATCTCTGGTTATGAAACAGCTCTGGCACGAGCGCTCCGACAGATGGGATGAGAGATGGAGAGGCAGAGCGAGAAAAACAGCTCTTGGTGAAAAAAAAAAATCCTTTTCACTCGCCTCCACTGAGTTGTGTTGCTCTAAGCGCTGAAGGCCAGCTGAAATGAAGAACACACCGGCAGACAAAACCAAAACGTTAGCAGCGTAAAACACCTGCAGCAGTCTCCTCAGCACCTCCCGAATCCAAAGCTTAGAAATGACCAAAAATAAGGGACGCAGTTGGTAAATCCGAACCCGGCCATGAAAGGCTCTCATGGCTGTGTGGGCTGCATGTAAGAGTCTGTGGATGCTCAGGGCCCAGCTGACCGTCTTGTACACAGATTATCCCCAAATGAAAAGAAAAGGAGGAAAACAACAATCTCGGCTTGGGCACTGAATGACAATAATCTTCAGGGACTATTTGCATGCTGCGACTGCGTATGCATGCATCTGAATATAAACGGCAACATACACAGGTCGGCCGTCATAGCCCAGTGCCCCATCACCCAGAGAAGGGCCAAAATAAACATAAGAGCAGGAGCTCAGCATCACAGATCAGAAACATCGGGGTTTACTTCTGAACAACGTCTCCAAGTATACATTTATAGCCACCACCTACGCAACTGAAAGTCTATTGCTATTTATTTAAGAGCCAAGGATGACATTCCGTAATCCCTTAAGACCCAAAGACGCACTGTTGAGACGACACAGACAACTACTAAGTCCTCAATCCTATCATTTTACCCCCGTGGCTGCCCCACAGGCCCCTTTACCTGCCTCCCTCAGGTGTGCAGAGTTTGTTTGGGACAGGTTTAAAAGGCGATCAGACAGAAAACGCTTGATGCCTGACGCAGGGGCCCGAACTGGCTGAGTGGACAGCAGCGTCAACTTATCCCAAAAATAACTTCAGGATCTGGTGGTTGACTGCAGAGCGGGCTCGATAACATGCACCAATGCCACCCAGGGCAGTGCTGACCAGCGCTCTGTTTGGTCAGAGGGGCGCTGCGCACTCGCACAGGACGCGCTGTGTGGCCGATGTGGGCGGGGGAAGGCGCCATCATGGACTGGGAATATGCGAGCGAGGTGCGAGTGGGTGTCGAGGCAGACTGGCATCCAAGCATACATCCACGTGTGAGAGAAGCAAACAGGAATAAACAGGGGGGTGGCGGCGGGGAAATGGGCTCCAGCTACAAAAAGACCCTCGTATGTGTCAGCCTGATCCCCCCCACGCCCCTGCAATGCAAAAATAAAGATGGCAACTCCCTTATCAGATCCCAGTTTTCTAAGTCTGTCGCTGCCAATTGAGGCTTAGTAGGCTGGCTAAAATCCCCAAAACAGTATCTGGATTACAGGTTATAGATTCACATCTACATCTGTGAGGAGGAAGGGAAAAACAGAACACACAAACTCCACACAGGTACACATCACTGATCCTCTATGCCTCCCACCCTCTCCTCTTATTCACAGGAAATGCACTCTGTACGACCAGCTTCTGATTATGCAAGTTAGAGCTAATCTTGGCGTGGGAAGGAAAACACAATGCAACGAGGCCTCCTGACAGTAAGGTGGTAAAAGCAAAAAAAAAGCAAAAAAAAAGATGCTTCTTTTGGCAAAAAGGCTTCACACTAAGACATCTTCAGGCACATAGAATTTGAATTCACTCACAGGAGCTCTTCCTCTATTGTTTCCCAGTGTAAAAACAGCTGCATATTGCGTTTTTTTGGGTCATCTAACAAACAGAGCTGACCTTCTGCTGCACAAAACCGTGTACTTAATAGATAAATTCATTGTTGTTTTTTTCCAAAACTCAATTATAATAACTTAAGCCACAAAAAAACAACAAGTCAATGTTTTTTGTAAGACTAGAGAAGCATTTCTGAGGGAAAGCACAAGGAAGAGGCTGCAACATCAACATGCTGAGGACTTGAGATAAAATACAAGCCTGAACAACCTTCTGCTACAAGGAGAGACCAAGAACATTAGTTTGACATGCCCCAGAATAACCCGAAGGCTGCCCTTTGAGCAGAAAGAAGGAAAATATAAATTAGGACAGTTTTGCTCATTAAAGATTAGGAGCTGCACACATTTCTGTTAAAGTCAGCCATATCTTTTTGGGTGAGACGAGGAGAGGTTCCCGAGACAAAACAGGCGACAGAAATAGTCAAACGCCTTGAAAAATGATAAGCAGCTCCCCAGTAATGATATGGTTATTTTCTGAAGCCACGGCAACGATGTGAGAGTCTTTCAGAGCAAAAATAAAAATAAAATAAACCTCTATACTTATCAGCTAATTACGAGCATTTCCCCTCCACTGAGCCAACAAATGTACAAAAATGACAAAGATGGAGGCTGTGCTCCTCTGGCCTGTGAAGTCAAATCTGCTCACATCCCTGCTGCAATGTTCAGGACTATTCGGGAAGGTGTTTTGGGGCTTCGTCCATCACGACGCCGGCCTCTCCTCTTCTTCCTCCTTCTCCTCTTCCTCCTCACCTGCCCGCGAGCCCGACAAAAACGGAGCCAAAACTGCTGGACGTCGCCGGAGGAGTGCCGGACGTCGCCCCGCTTCTCCTTCGCGTATACACACACACGCGCAAGGCGCACGTGTCCGCGGCGGTGTTTTCCGCGAGCCTCGCCGGCCGCTGATTGGCTGGCGCGGCGGGCCAATCACAGGGCGCGCCGCTCAGAGGCTGCGTGGTCCAAACGCCCCGCAACACACGGAGAGCCCGTTCAACGCACAAGAAGACAGAGAGCCGATTCACTGAACTGCTATCGCGGAGATAAAGAGAGCAGAAATAGCCACCCCGATTTTCCCAGCAGCAGAGATTACAAAGAGATAAAGTAAACTGATTAACATGAGTAATCAAATATTCCACAAAGCACTGATACAGTTACTTTAACTGTGCCTTTACATGGTGTTTAATGAATAGGATCTGCTGAAGACCTCTAGCGGTTGTGGAATGAATTCCACATAGAAAATATGCCAATAAACCAAGTCAAATCCATGTGAAAACCCACTAGCAGAATGATGAACGTGACAGAGCCAGTCAAAAGATCTACTGATTGCAGCTGTCTGGACATCACTGCCTCCTTAACTTGTATTTCAATCTGACTTCGCTCTTTGTTATCTTTCTTGCCCAAAAACCAAGAAAGCAGCCAGGCTGGCCGTCCTCCAGCGTGCTGTTAAATGACTGTCCGCGGCTGACAGACAGCACATCACACCTCCAGAGCCAAACCACAAAAAGGTCTGCATGACAGCCATCCTTTCATGTGCAAACCTGTGATGTCAGCTACGGGAAACCTTCCTTTGAACAGCTTTACATGCTGATACTCGGAAAAAACCAACATAAAAGAGCTAAATGAGTTACTTCTAAACACCACTGTCATACTGAAAGTTCAAGTTACATAACTGGCCCTATATTAGGTTTAAGCTGATATGATCTTTTATGTGATTTTTTTAATTTTCAGTTCACTGTTACACCCCAATATCTGTGTCCTGTTTCAGTGAAGTTACAAACATAGAATCCTCACAAAATACATTTTTATCGAGGCCTTCAAAAGGGCCAGGAAGGTTGTCTGTGTTGATAAGAGCGGATCAAAACAGGCCTTAACCCAAACCTTGACTTCCAGATCTGCACGACATTATTCTCGCCGTTCAACATTAAATATACAGTTTTCTGGTGTGAATTACACGAGTGGCTGTTTTGCTGCTCGGCACTTTGTGGTAACTTGATAATATCGGAGCATATTCAAAAACAGCTTGATTAAAAAAAAAAAAAAAAGATACTTGCATTTATGCCCCTCGTATAATGTAAAATGACACCTGAAAACACCTGCAGCTCTTAATATTCAAGCTATAAAATCAAAACAGAAAATGTGACTGATCTGGCACCTTAAGCAACACCAGAGGATAAACTTGGCATGGTTTGACTTTTTGGGGAACATGGAGGACCAACACAGTCCCTCCAGCTTTTCTCCTCAAACACCTGTCCTTCTCTGCTGGTCTCTGTTGCCACCACACACACAAGGCCACAGAAAAAAACATCAGAAAATGGTTTAGTCGTTGGTAAAAACTTAGTTAGTTGGAGTAACCAACTAATTTTGCACAGTCAAAAGCAGAGAGAGACAGTGGAACTGTTCCGGCACATCACAACCACAGCTTCTCACTTTGATGTAATCACTGTGAGGGAAACTACAGACCCGGTGCCTCACTCTGATGTTGAGTCACCACCAAGTTAAACACGTGCTCACACTGTCCAAATGTGCGGAACATCGTCTTTACCGTGTCCTGCTTTCTCACTGGAACAGTCGCCGTGTGGCCCGCGGGTGTGAGAACTCGCAAGTTGGACTTGTTTGTGCTTCGGCTGGAGCTCTCACCTTTGAGTTAATCAGTCAGAAAACTGAGAGTTGTGTTGTGCCTTTTTTCTGTCTTTTTATTTAATTTGGATATTTATGTGCAGCTGTTTTTCACACTCAGTTTGTTAGTTGGTTTAAGAAAAAGCCTGCAGGGCCGCATTTGCTTCGATTTATGTGCTTCTCTCAATATGTCCCTGCTGACACACAAAAAGTCCCATATTGAGGCTTTTCCACCTGAGACTGGACTGCACAGCAGGTGTCGTCGTCGCTAGACTTTGATCACGACATAAAATCGAGGTAAAGATGCCGGCTGGCCGTTCAGTGTGCGGTGGAACAAAAATGGTGGCAGGAATTAGGGGCAGAGGCGTCCCGAGATTCATTCAAGCTGATCTGCGGCTACAAGTTGCTGACACATATTTTCCGAGACGTGTCATGCAAAACAACAGGAGGGTGACAGCGGCAAGTGCAATTCCTGGATGTGACCAGCATCTTCACACCGCGTTTTTCTAGACAAGTGACAAGCAATCTGCACACCCACAGCAGCCACTTTTTTTCCATAACAAAATCACATACAACTGCATTAAAAAACATGGAACAATAACTGTATAATCACCAAATCATTCTGAAATTATTTAAGTGTAAGATGTAATTAATACAGGTGCCATGAGCCCATTTGGACATGCTTTAACACACAGATTAACCTGCACATGTCCAGAGGTTTCCACTTGCTTATCACAAATATAAACCATCCTGATCCTCCATTGATGCCTCTGTCATGGCTGTGAATGAGCCCAACAGCATCCTCCCTGGTCAAACCCCGTCATTTGCACTTTGGGTAATGAAACGAGTGCATCGCAGAGCTGCCATTGCAGAGGGATACGCAGCTTGGATTAAAAAAAACAAAAACGGATAGCTTGGATGTCACAACAATTTGTGACCCGGATCGCGGACAATCGTAAGCAGAACCTGATAACGGACACCTAAAGCAAGGGGGACATTTTGCAACCGTGCTGCCTCATTGTGCAACGTCCACAAACACGCCTACACCACAAAAAAACACAACACTGAAACGTGCAAACATTTCGAACTTGGACATAAAATGAAGCAGATCCAACCTGACTACGAATGTTATTAAAACATATTAGAGTAAGCTTATGGAGGTATCAGTTTTCTATAGAGTACGTCTAAAACCGGGTAGCACAAAACATTTGTCTCTACACTTAAAATAAGTATGACAGAATATGGTTGATTTTAAGATAAAGTTGTCAAAATAGGAGGTTGACAATGTTTTGCCAGCAGTTTTTTTTTTTTTTTAGCGATAACAGTATCGAGTAAAACTTAGCATGCTATTGTGCTAAAGCCATAGACACGACAATTTCACAAAGCCGAAAAACTTACCTTTGGCATGCTTTAGTATAAACGCAGTTTATTTCTTATTCCACCGTGGGGTGCTTAAAGATTTTCGAAAGAAACGGCGTCAAATCCAGGTGGTTTGTCAAGCCTTCTGAAATGTCGCTCCATACATTCTTAGTCCGCTCCCCGACTGTAGTTTACACGCATGGCAACACGTGCTAGAGCGTGCACTGGCAAGTGATGATGAATCCTCCGCCGTGATTGGCCGAAGCAACGTCGAGTCCACGCCCGGGCCACGCCTCTCCGGATTCTGATTGGTCGACATGGGCGGGGTTCTCCGCACGGGGCTCGGCAGTCACGTTGCAGAGTGACTGGTCCTGAGTTCTTCTCCAAACGGACCAAAACACGAGAGGGCGTTGGCCACTCCCCACACGTAGCCTTTCCCTGTGGACCGTAATGAAGGGAAGAGCACCGCAACGACATTTAGAGAGCGATCAGTGCGGTTTAAAAAAAGCTGCAGATACTGTTTCATTGGGAATGTTTCTTTGTGTAAACAGAGATGGAAACGGTAGAAGGACAAATATGCATATAAAAACAAACATTAACAACAAATGACAATTTATTTTAGCCTTTTTTAGGCTTAATTTCCAAATGTGTTGCACCTTCCCATAATAACAGGGAGGGGATTGAGAATAATGCAGGAAATATATGTACAGTAGAAGGAAAAGTTAATTTGCTTTGGGAAAAAAATGTTAATCTATTCTAATCTAATCACATATCTCATGTATATCACTATGCAAACAAATAACAACATGTCCTTTATTTTATCATTTTATGTTATTCCTTTCATATTGAAGATAACAGATTGATTATTTAAAACTTTATCATCAATACTGTGCAATGTGCAGATGCACAAGTGAAATATAAGATTATGTTAATTTTAAACTAATTCTATCTTTACAGTCCATTTGTTTAAAACATTGCAAATTTCCCCACTTTGGGATTATCTCATCTTGTTTGACATACTTTACACTTTGCAAGTTGACAAACTGTTTTTAAGATATTTGAACATTGTTATCAGGTAGATTAGAATGTGTGTTAAAGCATTGTTTTGACCATCCGTGTCCTTTTTTTATGTTGCGCCTTTGCATTGCACTTACGGCCGTAGCAAAGCTCCTGCATGCTCTTGTCAACGTGCTCCCAGCCCGGTGACGTCACATTCTCTGCTCGCCCCCTTTGGAAGTCACGCGGCTACTGGGGTGGTTGGTTGAGTTGCTGTAAACAGAGTAGATGTAGGGCACATTTCTGCCCGTAAATAAACATTAAGCCAACATTGGTTTGTAACTGGAGCTGAAACAATGTGAAAGAGAGAAAAAAAAAACAAGAGCAACAGCAAAGGAATGTTTTAAGAAGCTGTTTTCTGTGCATAATTAATTTCTACCCAACAAACTGACCATTGTGTCACTTAGCAAATAAACTGGAAATCGAGTCTGAAATGTATCCTAGATACAAATGCAAAACTACATAATGTGTGCATACATATCTTTTTTAAAGCACAAATACATTCCTATCTAAGACTGGTCAACAAATCTTGCTCCACATTCTTCAACTTTGTTTTTTGTGGCCTCTCTCACATCTGGTGGCTGAGTCCACAAATTGCATTTACTGGAAAGGACAGCAGAGCTATAAAAAGTGTGCATCGTTTGTCACTGAATGATATAAAAACAGGAAGCATTTCATGTTAAAACTTTATTTTTTTTAGAAAAGTTAAAGGAAATTCAAGCATACATTTTATTGAAAACTATCCTAATCTTTAAAATGTTTTTATTTCATGCAAACATGCAGAACAAATAGAAACTTTTGATGCTCTTCACAGCATAGAAATGTCCACTAGGGGGCATAGGTGTGCAGCATTGACTCAGAGAAAGAATCACAACATGTGTATGCGTTTTATTCAAATGAAGGCTTAGTCTGTGGTTTCTACAGCTATTGGGCTAACTTTCTCTGATAATGTATATTTATCAACCTTATAATGATAAATTTCTCTCCGGCCTTCTGTCTCTAAAGGTCAGCGTTTAATCAGTGGCATTTAAGACAGGTGTAAATCATTACTAAGGCCCATGAGTGGCAGGAACCCTTCATGTTGTGGTGCACAACACAGTTGGGACTGTTCTATGGTTCATTCTCTGTGCACTTTGCACTTTCAGGATCGTTGAATTGCATCAGCAGAGACAAAATTTGTGCTTTTATATTTTGCTGCCATCTGTTCGGTTTGTTATTCAGTACATTTACTTTTAAAAATGGCAATGGCTCAACCTGTGTTGGCTGTGCAGGTGGTACAGTCCAATCTGTGACAGAGGAACACTCTCTGGTGTATTATTCAAAAGAACACAGAGGGAGCATGCTGTCCCTGTGGTGGTTATGTAACACCTAATATCTATTAAAATATTGGCCTTTCCTACGGCTTTCTTTAATGTGATCTCAGTTTTCAAGTATCCTCGGCTATTCAGGCCACTAAGCAACCAAACCTCCACTGACAAATTGTTGCTGCGGTAGCAGCCACTGAGTCTGACGGCACGTTTTCAGAGCTGCTGGCCAGGTTTCTCTCCTCTGTCCAGGATGAGTCATGCTGCTTCATCTGTGAGCTGTTCGGGCTTTTGGGCCGCTGAACGCAAGCAAAAAGACATTTCCAGCCTTACAGAGAAAGACCGATGCTGTTTCTGAGGAGTGCAGAGAGCTGACTTCTTACTTGAATTTAATGACGCAGCTTAGGCCCCGTTTCCAGAAGAGCGGGTGCAGCTAAGCGTCTGAAAACTGGGGTGAAGAGCAGCTAATCCTCCGGTGCGCATTTGTGCTGTTGGTTTAACTGACTGTCCTGCTGCAACACGAAGAAAATCAGGGATTTAGCTCAAAACAACTGCAGTTAATGAGATTTATCCAAAGATCAAGAGCTTTCTTAGTGTGTACATAAAACTCAGATTGGCCTTTTTAGGCCATTTGTGACTTTTTGCTCTCACTTATACAGTCTTGTTGTTGGAGAAGCAAGAGACCCTAACACATGAGAAGTTCACAGAGGAATAAGTGTGATGATTGAAAGGACCTAGTTTAATTTGTTTCAACATCTGATCATGATGGCTCCTGGTTTCCTCCTTAAGGGAGTTTTTCGGACATGCCCCATTTTGCTACGAGACCCCGGGGAAGACCCAGGATGGGTGGAAAAATGTAAAAAATCAAAGGCTTTTAAGTAGAACTCACCACTTGTGTTTAAACTACTCAAACTCAACTAAAATACATGGAAAAAAGACTCAGCAAAGTTTAAAAGTAGTCAACTGAATAACAGATAAATGGGGAAATTGAATGGATCAGAAAGACTTATCTTCCCTTTTGGCAGCAGATGGCAGCATTGAGCCTTGCTGCTCACTTTGACAGCAAAGCCAAGTTAAGAGGAACAAATACTATGTGCGTCATTCGAAAGGTGTAATGTATTAGTTACTTTAACATTGTTTGCATTCATATATGCTCTTTCTAAATATCACTAATTAATGTTCATGCACTTAACTTCTTTTGTTGATGGAAATCCATTTTTGCTTGCATCATGCATCAGGCCTGGAACATGTTTAAAAACAGTTTGGAGAGTGAAGTTTCTACTACTTTGTAATATTGCTGCACTCAAATACTAAGGACACCAGGAAATGCATCCTTTCAGATGTTAGTTTGAGCCATTTGTTGTGCAATCACATTTTAAGATGTGTAAAAGTTCAGCATCATGTCTGTCATATTTGTTTATTGAAAAATGAAACAAATTAGACTATTTAGACTCAGTCTCGTACAAATACCCCACACTTCCTAATACATGTCTGTACATTTACTTTTAGCCACATTTTATATTTAAATAATGGATTAAGTTGTTTTGTTCCTCTCAGGTTTGCTACTTAGTTTAAGATTCAGACTAATGACATGTTTTTTCAAATGAATTATCTTAAGAAATATAAACTTTATATATCCCGTTTCCATGTCTTAAAGAGCTAACATTAGCATTCCCCTTGAAATGTAACAAATTAATCTATTTTAAAGATGTTCCTTCCCACCATTTAAGTTAGTTGTTCCCTCAGAAAACCCTCTCCATGTCCCAGCCAAGGTTTCAGGTTGGAATACTTGTTAAACATGAAAAAATGTCTCAAGGCTCTCTTAACAATCGATCATATTAGGATTTTGTGATTAATTTGTGACGCTAAAACCACGTAGCGGCCAATCAGCCCGAAGGCGGAAGTGGTAACTCATGAGTGCTCTTGTTCTTCTTCGCGTGTTTTGCTCTTTGCCGAAGGCGGGCCCGGTTTAAACAGGGCGTATCCGCTGCCTGTTAACCAGGAAACGTGTTCGTGTTTGTGAGCGGTTCCTCCTTCGGTTTAGTTTGACCAGTGGTGGGTCTGACCAGAGGTGTACCAGCCGTCCGACTGACTCATCTCCACCGGGCAGCTGCCAAACCGCGGCTCCGTCCATCAATGGCTAATTCAACGGCCGTTACCAGTAAGTTTCCGACATTTTCAGCTTTTTTTGTGTGCCCATATTCGTTCAAACTTTACCTTTTCTGACCTGAAGTCCAGTTTTGGAGAAGTTTTCCGCTGTTTCCGACGTGCGTTCGTTGAAGTGGGAGCCAGAGTGGAAAATAAACTGAACAAACGAAAAAGTTAAAGGGGCGACAGAGCAGGGACCATGAAACCAATGTAAAAGAAAAAGAAAAATACATTATTTGAGTTTATCTTTAATGGCTTATATGAGCTTTTCATAATGTTAAGCAATATGAATGTACACAGCAGTAATGATTGGTTTGTAATAGCATCTAAACAGGGTTTTCTCTTTTTTCCCCCTGATTTTTATGGCAGTAAATCTCAGTTATTCACTTTATTTCAAAGTTTGGAACGTGAAGTTTACTTTTCCCCATATTAAGACATATTTTTTCGTGTTTAATGGCATCTAAAGTCTTGTTTGCAGACTGTCCTGTTGATTTAAACTTCTATGTTCACATTTAACTTGAGTTTATTATCCTGCATGGTCATTCATGAAGAAAAAATAGACAAAGTTTGACACTTGTCCATCCCAAAGACTGTAAGGGGTTTGAATTTGCTGTCTAACTTAAACCTGCACGTCTCCTGTCAGGATGAATCATAAGACTTAGTAACCTGATCGAGGGGTAAACCTCAGATGATGTGCCGTCTTTGTAATTAAGCGGATTTGTTTGGCATTAAACGCAACGCTTTTGCAATTTCCTGAGTGTGTAGAAACTGGAAACCACAAATGCGTGAGGTTTTTTATCTTGTTAGATGTCAGCGAGGAGATGAAAGCACCTGCTTGGAAATTGGACAGGTGTGAAATGCTGTTGTGGATTCACAGCCGTGCGGTGTATTTTTACCACCAATGAGAAAAAGGGCTCATCCTGGCTCCTCTTTCTCCCTCATTCCCCGCATCCTCCGTGGTAAGTGGACGGCCTGGTCTCATCCCAGTGGTCCAGCCAAACATCACCAGAGGAGGCTGGGTCTTCATGCTCAGATGGTCATTGTTGTTGTTGTTATGTGAATGGAGTTTCATGTTGTTAAGGCTCAGATTACGAACTGAACGTAACTCACTCAAGTCAGTCTTTTCTGCTCATTTTCCTTAAAAGTTTTGTTCCCCGACAACTGGCGACAGAAACGTGACAAATGATGTAACGGGGAGGGACCGCGTTTAAAGATTAACCTCAGAAAAACGCATTAAATGAGTCTTTAAGCCACAATCTGCTGCTCGAAAACTTATTTTCTGTTCATGAGGATTTCTGCTGAGTTCAGCAAGAAAGATGACCAACATCCTCTTTTCTTAGATGCCCTTTGGCACTGGTGTTTTCAGTGGTATCCGATAGATAATATCCAGCCCGTGCTGCATTCTCAGGAAAGGCTTTCAAAGACATTTTGTAGGGTGGATTAGAAAAGTTCAGGTCTTTTCTTTGCAAGGTTATATTGTCGGGTATCGGCGAACAACCTTTTCAGAGTGTCGGGCTGTGTTGGTGTGTCAAAGGAGGGATCGGCCATCATGGATAACAAGCTAAAGTGGTCATCTGAACTCGACATTGACTGGCGGCTGTCCTTTTTGCATCTGTTCCCAGATTAGATCATTTTTTTTCCTCTTTGCCAGCAGCTGTTTGGGTCAGCCTTAAATAGCCAAATACATCCAATCCCGTACAGCTGAGATCGACTATGACTAGTGTGTGTCATCCCTTTTTAGTTTTATTTACACAGTTCCAATTCACTACAAGTCATCAGTCATCTCAATTGCCTCCGGTTACAACAAATTACAATCCAGTATTACACAGTCAGGTCCGATTATTATGACATATCACGTTAGTTCTGTTCATAAAGCAAATTCAAACAAAGCTTAATGAAACATTCATCTGAAAACATGCCTGTGATTCAATTCCTGTCCTGTGTGAGCACGAGGCAACAGTGGAAAGAAATAACTCCCAGTCAATTGAATGAATGCTTGATGAAACTTAATTATGGCCCATTAGGAAACTGGAAATGTTGGGAATGAGACCAGATTTGGGAAAAGATCTTCAAAGGATGTAGTTTCTGTCAGTAATGTTAAACAGCCTCTGGAATCAGGTTTCACTTGAGTTTTCCAGAGTCTCAAGGATTCCCCCTATTCTCATAAACTGGGAGATTTTCAAATTGGCTCAGTAAGCTTTTGTATTACCACATCAATGACTGCAGTGGTTATGACTATTTATCGACTCTGTGTCTCTGTAACTTTGGTGCACGCTTATTTTCACAGAGGGTGCTTCTCTCAGGTCTGCACAGTTGGAGAGAGCCCCATTTTCCCTCATAAAATAACACTCATTCAGGCTGTAAAAGGGAGGAGGCTAACTAAGAGGCTGCTGGTAGCTCATTCAGGTCCTCCAGTTATCTGAGATATCATGGCTGTTGGGAAAGATCTTTGTCAAACACAGTCTGCAGGACACAGTGGAATATAAAACCATCACTCATGTTGTTTTAGGGCTTTTTGCCTTCCCATTGTGGGGTATTTCCTCACTGGTTCTGAATACACAAAATCCTCCCCAGAACCTTGAGGCTAAACGGACAATTTCTTCTAATAGGGCAGTTTTAAAAAAATCTGATTGTTCATCTTGTCCTATGTTAAAAATATGCTCAAAACAGAATCAATCTGGGAGACTTGCTGCATGTCAGTATTTTTGTAGGAGACTGAGTTTGTGTGCAACATGTAAAGTCCTGTCATGCCGTCAGCACCTCGCTGCAATCTACAGCTGCCACGAAAAGGAAACTTTTCTCAGAAACTTATCCAAAAAACGTATTTGATTTAGCTTCGAACAAAGAAAATCAAATATTTTCTGCTCGGACTGAGTTTGTCTGAAAAAAGAAGCAAAGAAAAGACAAATGCCTGAACTGGCACTTTTTCAAATCAGAGCAGCTTTATGCAGTTTGTTCTAAATGAATAATTTGACTGTTATAACGCCGGTTATTTGACCGATCAGCCTCTTTTATCGCCGCCCTGTAAAAGTTTAGTTATTCTGCATGAGCGGCCAGCCATCTAAACCAGGCCAGGACAGGTTTGTTTAGGAAAGTGAGGGGGTTGCAAGGGATCAAACAAGCTTAGACATGTTATTTGTTTCTCACTGCCTCTCCACGAGCCTTGTTTTTTAAAAATTTTATTAGATTTTTTCCCGACGCAGGTTTTCATCTTCGCTCAGCAGAAACTGCATGAGCTGCACGTCACCCGCTCGGTGAACTAAACCTGTAGCCATTAGTATTGTTTAAATGCGATGCAAATTAACCTCTGACTACCTGAACTGTGGGTCAACCGCGCTGCCTTCGCTGCACCTGCAGCAGTGTGGGAAATGCAAGCGCCCGTAGATTTAGTCCAAAGCTGACTTTGGTTTGATTGATGGGAGTCGTGTTCACTGCTCACCACTCTTTATGCTAAACTCTGAGATCAATACGTGTTTTCGCTCTTTGTGAGTTGAATTTATTCTTGATTTTCTCCAGTCGTATAAATGACCGTACAAATGTCCCTTTGGAGACAACCGGTCACTAAAATGTGATGTTGCAGAATGAGGCTTTGGAGGCAGAAAAATCCTCTTTGTGTCTTCAAAAGTGTTGTCATCATCAGAGGATTTATAAAGCCATTTGAAGATGGTTATTATCCCATATCCTTTCTTTTTCTTAAAAGAAAATCTTCCATGCTCTTCTTTGGGTGTAACGTCCTATTTGATGAGCCGTGCTGATTTATGGTCACCAATTTCATGTCACACTGAGCCTGGTTTAATTGGACCATAATCCAGCTCAGTTTCCCTTTAAGTCCAAGGCCTTTTCTGAAATTTTATTTAACTAAACAAAGCAAACCAAGCAGATATTTTTTCCCCCCATCAAATTTAATGTTAAAATGACTATTTCTTTTGTTTATTTAAGCCCTCAGTTGGAAATGATTAAGTTAAAAAGAAGACTCCCTCTTATATGTCATCGTGTACCACGGCTGACTGAAGTCCCCGGCTGACATATGATCGCATTTCCAGCAAAAAAAAAGTCCCGGGCAGATACAGAAATAGACAGATGAGCCTTTAATTGAATCCTGGCCTTCATTTGACAGCCCGAACGCAGACCTGCCAGCCTGCTGTGCTCTGTCAGCCGCGCAGATAAACAGAATTAACCGTGTGAAGCCCCCCCCCCTCCCGTGACACCGCCTGGCGCCCGCAGGACCTCCGCCTTCGCACCTGCTGCGGCTGCTATCTCCAAATCCCCCCCTGACGCTTTCCCAGCCCCTGATCTCTCCTTTTTAGATGCTTTCTAATCGGGGGGCCCCGCGACCGCTCGGCGAGTCAGCCGGGGGGGGGGGGGGGGAATGTGTGTCGTCTCTATCGTCACATCTTGCTGCAAGCACATGAACACATTTGGTCGCGGAGAGGTCAGCGAGCAGACAATGTCCGGTGTGTTCGGCGTGATGCAGCGGGCCGCCGGGACAATGGAGGAGCACAAACGCTGCTGTATGAATCTGGGGGCGCGTGGTCAGATACTCAGCGCGGCCCCCACACACAGGGCACATAGAAACTTTTTTAGAAGATTTAATCATACGTTTGTGAGCCCGACGTGCATCTGGCGGCCGTTCCTACGTGCATTTCGAGTGTTTTTCCGGCTTTTTCCGGCCCTGTGCGCTCACTGATGCGGACAAAAGGCCTCTTGTGTCTCCTGGAATGCGTCACGTGACGCCCGGACGGCAGCGGCCACGGGAGCGTCCGGCTTTAGCCGACCACGGATCACGTTTGCCCTTTGATCTGCGACCCGATTGTGACCCTCTGTGCTAAGTGAGCTGTATAGATTTGATGAGTGAGTGGAAGCCCCCCCCCAAAGAAACAGGTTCTCAGTTTGTAGAGAGAGACTCGGCTGTCTAGATGTGATACTCCGGGCTTTTGCATCCAGGAGAGGAAGAAACAGTCGACTCCTGCCTTTCTTAATTTGACACTGTATTCAAACTCGGCATAATTAAGGCATCTCATGTCATGTTAATTGTTGATAATAACATAGAAATATCTCCAGTTGTATGAAATGAATGCTTTCTATATGGAGTCTCTGGGCTCCTCCCAGCAACTCTCTGGACTCTCGTTAGAGCTACCCTCTGGACTTGAGTCCATCTGGATCAGCAGATAGAAGTGAGGACAAAGACAGCTAAAGAGGTAAAAGTTTATAACCCTTTTTTTTCTTTCAGTTGCAGTAATTTATTCAAACCCCTCTGATATAAGCAACCCAGCCAGTGCAGGCCAGTTTGAGTGCTTTAGTGGTCTCCCAAGCCTCCCCATGAACTCAATAAGAGGAGGCAAAGGCCTTTAAATCTCAGTTTGACACAAACTCGGAGTGAGTCACCGGAGCTGTCAGAGGGGCGCCATGATACTGGGCCAACAGGCCAAAGTCAGAGACAGTGACCGGTTTGATTCCATCTAGGAGGAACTGAGAACTCCGTCCCGTTTCCGCCGGCGTTGTCAGACTCCCTCCGTCCGCGTGCGGCCGGTTGCTTTTGTTTTTTCCCTGTCCGAATTATTCAACCCCACCGCCGTCTTTCCCCTTCTCCCCCTCCCCAGTCAACGAGAACGGTGGATCCTCCAGAGGCAACCCCGACTACATCGCCTTCGCCCTGGTGCCCACCTTCTTCCTCCTGGGGCTTCTCGGGGTGGTGATCTGCCACGTGCTGAAGAGGAAGGGCTACCGGTGCACCACCGCCCAGGACGATGAGGAGGAGGAGGAGTGTGTGGAGGAAGAGCAAGACCCGGAGTGGGGCGGAGGTGAGGAGATGATGTGGGGAGATCTTTCCGGCTTGTTTCGATAAGGAGCCTTTTGCCTCGCCGACGTGTGAAGACGGAGCCGTTTGTACCACGAATGAAGTGTTGATTTGTTGATTAGCTTGGCAGCTCTGGCTAACCTGTCGATCAGATAGAGGCAGCGGCACGTCCCCGAAATGCTCTTCTGAACCGATGCCTGGGAGCCACGAGCATGGAGAATTCTTTTCCTCTTGCTGTGTCATCCTAAAATGCGCTGATGCTATCTGCAAAAGCTATCGGAACATCTTTTTCACCCCTTTTTACCAACTAGCGTTTTAGCCTTCTCCCTTTGTGCTTTTTCCTTCGGAGCCGGACGGATACTGAAACGCACTTATCTAGATAAAAACTCACCGATACACAGCAACACATTCCCTTTGTCAAAGCCTGATGCTGCTTCGCTAAATCGCCCAAAGCAAACAGGATTTTTAGCCTTTTTAAAAAAAATGTTTTTACATTACTCTTAAAAAGACATAAGGCATGAGGTGTTCCACTTACCAGTCGTGTGACAGTGGGAATTCAGGTCAGGGAAAAGGAAAACAAAGTGGTGAGATTGCTGGATGCTTTCACCTGCCCTTGAGTCATAGCAGGCTTCGACTACATTCCTGGATCTAATGAGCTGCCGTGTGCCCGGTATTGTAGGATGAATAGATGTGTGTAACGCCAAACCACTGAAAGAAAGAGGACTGGAAAAAAAAACAACTCCCAAAACCAGGTTATTTTTGGAAAACCGGCGTGTTTTGAGGTTTTTCCACAGATGGACTCCCCAGAAAAAAGTGTGAGGTGAACAAATGTGAATTTGGAAATGGATTAACTGTCTCTGAGTGAGGGCCTGTCACTTTAAGGCAAGGAGGCTAGGACGGCGTTTGTCAGCCACACCGCTCCTGTTCTAAAATAAACAAGGGGCGTGTTCAGTAATGTGAGATAACAGGGAAAAAAATCAACAAAATCTCTGCACAAGTCCAGCTTGACTTAAAAGACGGGAGGGAAATGCCTCGAGTTTTTTCGCTCCGTTCCTCGGCCCTCGGTTAAAGCCCATCCCCTGGGATTTGGCACGCTCTGTGTTGGGCAGGATTTAATCTCGGTTTGCTCTGGGGTATGTCACAGGCAGGTGGGATGTATTTCAGGGAGAGGGCCGCTATCAGGACGCTGTGAATTTTTGCTGTCATGCTCACTCATTTGTTATCATACAGCAAACCGAACCTCAAAGCTCTCTATGGAACGCCCTTAAAGTGTGGGTTAAGCAGAGGCCCCATTCCTCTCTTTTCCCCCTCAGAGACATCTGAGGGAGACTCTGAGGGCTTCTCAAGACAGCCAAGACATAATAGGAGTGAGTCCTGAGTGCAGTGAGTCCTGAACGGGCCTGGAGGGCCTCCTCATGGTGTGGATGTGCTTTGCAATGCCTACACAGAGAAGCATTCTGAAAACATCCTGGTCTTGTGTCCAGATTAGCACAGCTGTCTCCTTCCAGTATGAAGGAACTACAGCTTTCCTTTAAACCCCATCTCCAAAGAGAATCTTAGGGCCACTTGTATCAATCCATCCCATATAAACCCATTAATCCAGATATGGAGCCTGAGGGGGATTGGAATGTAGATTTACAGGTAAATCGACAGCTGACCATTACAGCGTCCATTTCAATCTCTCTGTTCTGCCTCCAGCCACGAATCACTCTCTGTAAGACAGGATTTAAAAAAAAAAAAGGTCACGCGGGGAGCAGGTTTCTGCCATTTGGTCAGTATGATAAACAGCAGATAATAAATTAGACAACCGATACTCATCTGGTGGGTGGGCGGTGGGGGTGAGGGTGGGGGGGGGGGTGCTTCCTCTGAAGTCATCATTCTCACCCTCCTTAACTGCAGGAGGAGAAAACACAAGATAACGTGATTGCCGTCCAGCATTTCACCCGCAGAAGAAAACTTAATTTAGTTCAAACGTAGAGCAGATCAGATTAGGACCTGCCTGTATTCAACACAATGGTTCTGACCTGATCTCACTATATTATTTATTATCTTTTTGTTTTATTTTGTTGAGTTTGTGGATGAAAACTGATTGTTTCCAATGTGTTGTGTTAGTGAAAAACTCTGAACTACTTGTTTTTAGTCTTCAAAAAATAATCTACTTATTAGGTTGATTTTATTTGGACTTTTTAAGTTTAACTTAGAGTCCATTAAAAAGGGCAAAGTTATTGAAGTGAAGAGTTTTGGATTTAACACAGCTATTTGAGAGTAAAGGGAATCTATTTCAGTAGGGAGCTTACGCTTGTGTAATTACATAATATCTGAAAACACCAGTCATGTTAGTTATTGGTTTGTTGTTTGGGACAGACAACAAAGAAATGAGTCATATAGTTTTAGTCTTTAGCAGGTCAGACAGGATTCACTGAAACGATTTACTGAATCACTAAGAGGGGGAACTGGACTTCCTCTTTGATCTTGAAGACGTTTCCCTTCTCATCTGAATGAACTGAAGAAGCCTTTAGGACCAAAGGTGATCAAAGAAGTCCGTCTGCGGTTCCTCAAGCTCTTAGGATGACTTCAGTGGAATTCATTAAGATTTTTGTACTTTGGATGGACGTTTTCTGATTCATTCGCTGTAAAGCAATGATGTAAAGGTTCAATACACCCCCCCCGAATGAGTCAGAGGCACAATGGCTGTGAGTTTTCTGCCTCTCTGTACAGTTTCCTCATTGAGCCCTACCCCGTCTGTCTCGTGTCAAAACAAAGCTAAAGCCCAGGCTTTGTGTTCCGACCTCGCTCACTCAGTGCATCCACTCTCACAAAGATCAGGTTTCCTCTACGTTGCCACCTCCTTTTCTTTTTTCCTATATTTCTCTCTGGCCCTCCACACAGGCGTAATCGCCCTCGTGACCGTCCCCAGCGTACCCGGAGAGCCCTGACAGAGCCATCATTATGCTAATCAGTCCTCAGGAAAACCGGAGGAAGCGATCAACAGGAAGCTCCAGGAAGTCTCTGGCTCATAAGGGCGTGCGCCGGGTCCAGGTTTCGCTCACCGGTGTTGAAATGTGGTCAATCATTGCACTTTTTATGCCTTTATGCTCACGGCTGATACTGTGAGAATCTGAAGAAAACCGGCACCACGACAGACAGTGTCCCCATTTTACTGTTTGAAAAATAATGTTTGCAACATTTACACTGATTGTGTAAAGCGTGATTAGCTCAGAGGCAACAGAAGAGTTACTGTGTAGGATTTTATTAATTAATAGTTTTTGACAGACCCCCTCTGCCCCGGTTCAAATTGATCAAATTTGGAAAAAAATAAAATAAAAAAACACGGTTCTTTTATGGTTCTGATCGGAGGGAGCCAAGTGGATGGGAAACCACAGACTGGGACATGTAAAAGTTTAGCCTGGATACTGATTTTAAACCATTTTTTCTTTTAGTGGCATGAAGTGGTTTCTCCTGTTGTCCTCTCAAGCCAAAACGGAAGTATGAAATGATCATACAGCGCTGTTCTAGTAGTTCACCACAAATGTTATATAATAATGGTTTAATACACCCTATTACATTAAGTGATGGCTCATTTTTAGTGAAAAAACCCCCCAGCAGGAATGTAGCTGAAATCAGAATGATTACACGCCAGACCACATGCTTCCCGGGACCACTTCTGTGGTTTGCAGCCAATAAACAAAGAAATCGATAATATTCTGTGGCAGCTGAAGAGCTAAAAGTTCTCCTGAGCTGTAAAAATACGACCGACTGTCTCTGCTGCTCTTTGCTGGAAACGTGTTATGCCTCTGTTTATGTTTTTTTACATGCTCCGTACAAGAGGAAAAAACTACCAATTCAAGCTGTAGGAACAGGAACAGGCCAGACTTATTAACCCTTTAAGGGTCACCCAATGAAAAAATGAATTGTTAAAAATTAGGTTCAGGCTGCAAATTACAATTAAAATAAATAAATAAATAATGTAAAAAGAATAAGATAAGGAAAAAAATGATGTATTATTATTGAAAAGTATGAAAATGTATTCTCAAATCAACACAACTTTAGATCACAAAATATAAACAGTAAATCTCTTCTCTTCTGGCTCATCCCTGATTGGTCAGAGATGCTGACATCACCGTCCAGGATGTGGTCTGACCCTTTTGAGAGCTGTAACTTCTTAGCTGATGCTGAAACACGAGCACTTAACTTATCCACACTAACGGCCTGTATTCATGAATCTGGAGCGTAGTTCTCAGGATGAATGCACCGAAATGATCCAGGACCCACTTCCTATGTTAAAATATTTATATGTGGGTTCAAATATTCCCATTAGACCTAAAAACCTACGATAACTCCTTGATAAATACTACAGATAACTACACATAACAATAAAACAGATGCATTATATAAGAGAGAGGTAAAAAGAAATAAATCATAAAGAAATAATTAATAAAAAGGGTTTTTTATTGGTGAAGGGTGGGAGAGGTGGAGACTGAGATACAGGACGTACCCTAACTTACTCTAACTTTATTTATATTTAATAAGATTGTTTCCATGACTTCGATGTGATGTTGGAAATTTACTGTCAAATATTTGATCGAATTTTTGATAGAATATTTGATCGAATATTTGATCGAATTTCCTTTCACCCACTCAGCAACGCAACTGTATTTCTTGTTGTTCTTTCAGAGATGAACGACACGCTCAGCGACAACGACACCGTGGGCCAGATCGTCCACTACATCATGAAGAATGAAGGTAGGCTCCCAAGGCCTCTGCCCCCCCCTTTCCCCCTTCCTCTGAAGTCGTTCCCGTTGGATGTGATGTGCAGAAAGTGGGCTTTCACACACCCGGCAGGAAGGAAGCGGGCGCTGGAGCTGGGATGTGTGTGTGTGTGTGTGTATGTGTGTGAGAGGCTCTTCTCAGAAGCGCTTGGCTCAGGAATGAGGGTTCTTGTGGAAGTTCATATCCAGGACAACTGCAGTGGAATTCCGAGACTCGGTTTCTTGGTTAGATCACTGCTTCCCACCAAAGTGAGACTTTTTTTTTCCAAGATAATTTATCACAAGCACTAACGTTGTGTTAATGTCACAATAATCTCAAATATTTCTTCCCCCACTGCGGTGACTTTTTTTTCTTTTAAATAAATATCTTCCTGCGTCCCTTGAATCGTCTAAACGGGCTCTAAGTGGAGATCCTGACAAAAGTTTGACCTTTTTTTGGCACACTGATAAGATTAATTATCTATTTATTGCTCCATTTTAGTCAGTCGCCTTTAGAAATGTCCACAGAAAGATCTAACTAAATATTTAGATGGTTCTTCTTCATGAAAGTTTATTTAACGTCTTTATTTTTTGACACCCTGCTCGCGGGATTCTGCAGATTCGTGGGAATCCGGGGGAAATGTGATGATTGTGATAATTTCAGCTCACAATGATAACTATAGACTCTGTAAACACAAACTAGTGAGAAAATCCTGCTGCTGTGAAGCCTCACAGTGTTGCAAAGACGGATTAAACTCAGATAAAAGGTGGTCCTGTGAGGCCGGACAGGGTCCAGTTTAAGTAGTCCGGGGAAAACACAACAAGTCCAACTTCCACAAACACACAACAGGTTGTGGGGCCGAAGTCGCTCAACAAACAAATTTGTTGGGCATGCTTTTTGAGGATGTGTTTTCATAGATTAGAGTTCAATGTCTGGAGAAGAACAGGTGATTTTTGCCATGTTCACTCAGAAAAAATGCATCCGGACTTTTTTGAGATGACAAAAGTTGTTGGTCAGCGCTGATTCACTGACGTCCAGCCTGAACTTTGAACCATCCGAATGACCGACACGTCTCATGACACATGAAGGCAGCTCTGGTTGTCATTGTCCCCCCCCCCGACTCATCACTGCTCCTACAGTCAGAGGTAAATTTGGTCTGAGGAGTGGGTTCCTCTCTCTGTGACTCGTGTCCGTCTGACACGCCATGACTCGAGTTTCACACCCAGAATTTAATCTGAAGGAGACACTGTTGATTTTTAGGGGAGCGGTTATCTCCTGTTTAGTGTTTTTGGTTTATATCCACAAAATGATACAACCTGTCCTAGAAGAGAGGGAAAAGATGAAGAGGAATGGAGTCGGGTATGAGGAAAGAAACACTGCCCTCTACTGATTTTATCATATAAAGAAAATCTGTCTCTTTTACAACAAAACCCCCCAAATCAACACCAGGACGACGTCTCATGCTTTCCATTTAACCAAATTTGTTTATTAAGAATATATAAACTTACACAAAACTCTCTGTGCAGATTGTTGTTTCATCTCTGGTCTCAGATAAATTTGAACTAAGACAGACTCCTTTTTCTGCCCGTTGTCGGTTTTTCTTAATTCTTTGATGCAGCATTTCTGTTCTCAGCAATATTTCTTTGGGTTTTCTGTCCAGACATGTTGGCCTTCTCCTTTACAGCTTCCTCATTTTGTTGTGTGCTCAAACTCTACTTGAATTATGGGTTTTATAGTCCTTTTCATTGTTTCCACTGATAAACCAGGTTGCTACAGTATGCAAACAACTCATTTGGCATCTGGATAAACTTGATAGAAATGTTTATTACGAGTATATTCCTTTTTTTTTGTTTACTGAAAGAAAACTGTTTTTTTTTTTGTTCTCTTCAAAACTTGATTTGAATGAGTTTTTAAATGGCGTGATTTGGGGTTAATAATCAGGAACGTGTCTGATTTTGTGCAGTAGTCTGAACTGATGCGTCCTTTGATCAGCAGCAGGTCTGATAACCTGCCGTGAGACAGCCAGGACACCAATACAGATTAGAAATGGAAAAGAAACCTGTAATTTGGAGGATTTTTCCCTCACGCGGAGCATCAATTTCTCTCCCCAGAGTCTAGTTAAGTTCAGAGATTTCCTGCGATGCGACAACGAATTGAGTTAAAGATGGAATCTTTTGCAGCCATCTCTCAATAAGTGGTCTGCTTTCTGAAGCCACTGGAGCTGATTCCCAACACAGCTTTTCTCTCCCCTCTGCTCGCTGTAACTTTCTCTCTCTTTCCTTTCCTCAGCCAACTCAGACGCTCTGAAGGCCATGATTCACGAGAACAGCATCGATTCAGACGGGTGAGTGTGAGCGCCACCTCGGCGTGTCGATCGTTTGCGTGGATCGTCCCGTCCAGCAGGTGGAGACGTAAGCCTCCTTTTCAGCCTGTGGCTGAACGCGGAGCAGCGCCACAGCCAAAGCAATCAGGCCACGCTTCTCCTCAGACGCCCCTCCAGACTGGAGAGGGTTGATTGGGGTCAGGCGGCGAGAGACCGTTCCTAAAATGCCACTGTGCCACATATCGGCGCATTATTAGACTGTGTTGTGTGCAGTTTCTGACACACTTTTTTTTTTCTCACTTGGTTCATGGCCCAAACAGACTCTTTGATGGGGAATAAAAGGGGGGCAATTTATAGTTTCTGCCCTTGAGGTCATTAATAATTTTGATGGTCGATGATTAATGCATTTTGATATTTGGAAAAAACAAAACGTAAACACCAAAAATAATCTGTAGAGGTCACTGTCCTAGCTGTGTTTGTCCAAACAAATACTAAACTTATTATTTACTCCCCGAACAAAAGCTCGGGCTTCTCACCTAGTGATGAGACTCAGAAACCTTGAAAATGACTTACAAACTATTCATTTAAGAAAATGTGTAAAAAAACAAGGATAAATCTCTACTATACAGTGGTGCCTGAATTTTCTGAACAATTTAAAGCCTTGCAAAAGAAGTATAGATAATGAGAAGAAGTGCTAAAGTTGTGGACCGATTTTAAGCTAACAGGCTATAGTGATAACCAGGGGGTGAAGCTGGTGATTTGTACTTGTTTTGAAATCTAAGTTAGATATGAACCCAGTTAATTCATGACACAGTCAAAAGAAATGTTTTCTACGTACACCAAATACAAAAAAAACTTAGAGGAACTTCTCTTTCATTCGGCTGTGAAGCTTAGATTTGAAGCTAGCTGTTTCAGAGAAAAAATGCTAGCTCTCACATCAGTCCAACTCACAAAGTTGGTTCTCATCAGTGGGTAAAAAATATTTTACATTGTTTATTTATTTTTGTAGAAAATCCACAAGAATAGTGACTGGAAATTGATTAGTGCCAGAAAAAAAAAACTCAAATCAAAACAACTGCCGTGCAGTTATTAGCTGCAGCTTTAGCTAACACCTGGATTAATTAGGAGCAGGAAGAGTGGGTAGGGATGTTTGACTTAAGGGGGTCGTGTCACACTAGTGTTTCCAAAGAAAAGCTGGCAGTTGTCACTACAGAATACACGACGTGATAAAAACCAGAGCTGACGGTTCGGGCCGACTTATTCGACAGCTGCTGGCGTCATTGGAGGCACTCTGCTGCGTTTCCTCTGAGCTGAGCGGAGATGAGTTCAGCCCATGGACGCTCTGAAAGGCGAGATGCTTGTGACTGCAGAGGAGTCCAAGCAAATTGAGTTAATGGCCGTTTGTGCTTCTATCCCCGGTGTCTTCCCTTTCCAACTCCATTTTGCTCCTGATGGAAAGTGGTGAGATGGATGTTTACTTTGTTTAGGGACAGTGTGGACAAACAGTAGGAAGCTTACTTAAAAAAATGTAGTTGTCAGCTTTTTGTTGTTTTTTGTTTTCATAAATTGTTTAGATTTTTACATTAAAATGCACATTTATCCAGTTTTTCTAGTTATGGTTTACCTCCATTCATAGCAGCGTGTTTACACCATTTTTAGGTTAATTCATATTCTAAAAGCGAGGATGATGTTTTGAATGAGTAAAGGATGAATATTTAAACCTATAACGTCATAACTATATGAAGTGAGGCAGTGAGTCATTAGAGTATTTGCACTTTTATTTTCTCCATTATCTTCCTCCACAAAGGCCTGGAAAAACATTTTTGTTAGCTTTCACGCCTCCATTCCCGAGGGATCCCTACAGCACATGGTTTTTTTATCTACGTTTCAGAATATTGACTTTTTTTTTTCATGACTTTTATGTTTCCAATTGGAAAAGGTTTGAACTTCTACTGCTGCTGTTTCTTACAGCCATGTTTAAGTGCCCTGTGCTGCCACCTGCTGGAGGTGTAATGTTTTGCAACGGTTCAAAGTTTTTACGTGTTCACATATTGAGTAGAAACAGTTAACCCTGTAATAACATATATATCATTTTTGAGAAATACGTTTCTGAAATCCTTTGTGTCTGAGACCTTTTGCATCATTTAAAGGTAAAAACCTTGTTTTCCACAGCCAGGTCTACCTGATTGTAACAGTTTTGACTTATCGCACGATAATAAACGATATGCATAATTTTTTATTTTTTATTTTTTAAAATTTTTTCAGATTTTGCTAAAGGACCAAAAAAACTTCAGACTTTTCTTGGATCAGGCTTTAAAGGGTTACTGACTTTTTAAAACAATCTGTATTACATAGATTAGTATGCTATTGTGTGGAAATATTTTGAAAAACACCATTTAAAAATTTTGAAGGGGAAAAAAAGCACAGAATTTATGGAAAGGATGATACATTTCTTCTGTGTGCTCTGTCCTCAGGTTTTTATTTGAATGGACTGACCACTGGGACTCTTAAAATTAACCAGAGTTGTGTGAAAAAACAAACAGAAACGCGTGTTTGTGACAAAACGTTTGAACGAAAGTGACACTTCTTAGTATTTATTGCCGCGTGAATGCTCCAAGCTGAGTGTCGCTGTCATTTTTCATGAGTTAGTCAGTATTTGCTCAGAAGTCTGATTTATTAATGCGATAGGCTTCAATACAGGAAGCACTGCCGGAGTAAATACGATTAGATTTCCTTTAGCAAAATGGATTAAATGTAAGTCGATGGCTCTTTTGTGAAGTTTCTCTTGGCTTAATGTGTGCATGAAGCCTGCTTTTGTTTTTAGGAGTTACTTAAAAACCCTTCTCTGTGTCTCATAATGACCCTCTCATGCCAGCCACCACCTTTAATTTTTTTTTCCTTTTCTTTTTGGACATTTAATCTTTAATTGAATCCACCTTTAATATTTAAACGAGCTCTAATCTCCGTTTCTTTCTCCCTCAGTCGTCCGGCCACGCCCACTTCGGTGGGCCCCTCCACGCCTCCCCTGACCCCCGTGTCTCCGGGGGCCCCCCCCGGAGCGCCCAAGCACACCTGCAACCACCTGCACACCATCGGGGGGGCCGGCGGCCACAAGAACATCTGCACGCGCTGCAGCCAGAAGAAGTGGCCCCAGATGAGGCGGCCGTCGGCCCGCCGGCCGGAGCAGCGCCGCAGCCACCACGGAGAGGTCACCGTCCTGTCCGTGGGCAGGTGAGGCCGGGGCCACGCCCAAAAACGGCTACATCCTCTGAGGAGGTCCAGCGGCCGGACGGTCAAACATTAACGGCAACTGAAAAGCCGGCCGGTGATCCGGAAAAGGCCACCAAATGAGATCTCACAGGACAGAGAAAAGGAGTTTGAATGTAAAATTGAACCTATCCTTCCTGTTGTTGTAGTTTATTACAACAACATTTATTACTTCGGAACCGTCATGTAGCTTTCAGGTCCTGTAAAAGTACAAATACGGGCCTCCAGAGTCCAGTTATAAACCATTTAGGGTACTTAAGCTGAGAAAGGACTGTAAAGACATTCATTTACTCCTGTTGTGTCCCTATTTTAGGGACCAGCATACCTGGATGTTATATTTACAGTCGATCTGTGACTTTTTTTTAACCTTTTTTTTGTTGATTTGTTCTGAAAGGCTTGTGTTGGGAAGAAGGGTTGGTTTGTCATTTAAAAAAACCTATTGAAACCCGTTTAAGGGAAAAGTTGGACTTTCTGTCCAACCTGGAAAGCACAGAGCCCCTCTGAGATAGTCGGCATGACCAGGAAATGCTTTTTCTGTGTGTGGTTTTTGGTTTTGAAGGAGTGGGTGTTGGCACCTGCTCAGCATCTTTTTGTCAGAGGGAAACTTTCTGTGTTATTAATGTTTTATAACATGTTTAATGCCAGCTTAATCTTCACCCAGAAGAGGTGTTTTTGTAGTTAAACACACACAAAGGTGTTCTTTTTCCGCCGTCAGAGATCCAGAATAAAAAAAAAAAAGAAAAAAAAAGACATTCTTCCTGTGTTTGCCTTTCTCAGGTTCCGGGTGACAAAGTGTGAGAAACCGACCCGGGAGCGGCGGACTCTGCTCATAAGCGACTCCAACGGCAGCGTCCCCTCCACGCCCACAGAGGCCGAGCCCCCCAGCCGGACGCCGTCCGAGTCCCAGCAGGTCAGTGGGCTCCCCCCCCCCCCCCACAGTCTCGTTCCGCCTGATCTGGGGAAAAGCAGCCAGATCGAATGACTGGTTTTTAGTCCAAACGCACACCGAACAGCGTTCGATTAAAAACACGCCGGGGGGAAATGAGAGCAGATCAAAGTGGACCCAAAGATGGTCGTCCATCCAGATGTACCTGGATCTGCATCATCTTCCTCACTGTGTCCCGGTTTGATCTCAGAGGAAGGGGTCTGCCTGAAGCTGGGGGTGGGGGCTGTGGGATTACCGTCTTTGTCCCAAACTGTGGCACGAGTCTGTTTGGATTAAACCGGCTTTGCTGAGCCAACAGCCAAACCAAATTTGTTCTAGGGTGGAAAAACCTTCCACTCATTAACATCCGTGTTTGCTCCCATCCGTATTGTTTGCTCCCATGTTGACTTTTTAGCTGAGAAACGTCCGCGACGACAAACAAACTCTCTCCACACTCTGTTTTAAAAAAAAAATCTATTTCTTCTTCCTGAAATAAGAGGAGATTATTTTTTTTTACCCCATTTACAGGAGCAGAAAGAAAACCTGGACAAGGACCAACGGTAGACCTCCAGGTGTTTCCAGCTGTCCGAAGAGGGGGAGAGCGCCGTCCGGACGCTTTTTTAAACCCAAAGAAAACACAGGAGCACCGATTCCCCCCCCCCCACTCATCCCCATTTCGGCCCCACGGGGAGCCAAACACGCTGCTGCTGAGGGGGGGGAGAACTCTGGCTCACCCTCTGGACTCCCCCCGTGACGCCCCACCCCCAGTGCCTCGCCCCCCGGGGGGGTGGGGGGGGGGGGGGGGGGGCTCCGGGCGGTGCCTTCCCTGTGAACACGGTCTTAATACTCACAGCGACGTTTGTACATATGTTTTTATAGTTTAAAGCTATTAAAGAGGGTTTTTTTGTGTTTTTTTGTTTTGTATGACGCTTCTTTAATTTATAAAATAACGTAAAGCGGAGTGGACCACGGAGGAGGAGCCGTCCTCTCTGCTTTTTTACAGTCTGCTTGTTTTTTTCGTTTTTACGTGTTCTGTCTCTCTGACCTCAATAAAGAACTTGAAGTATTCTGAGCTGAACGTGGGAGCAGCTTCAGTGTTTGTTCAGCTTCAGGGGCAACCGTTTAGATTGGTTTTCCCTCAAGGAAAATGGCCGACCGTTGTCCCCCACGGCAAGAAAATGGGTTCAACGACACCAGAGCAACACTTCCGACACCGTTTCCTACTTAAAACTTTGCAGAGCTGATGAGAAAAGGGAGGAGGACAGCTACAGGAAACCATGTCGGCTTTAAAAAAACTCCAATCAGCGAGTGAGGGAAAAGAAAAGTGCTCCAAATGTCAGGGCCTACCTCTTTTTTTTTTTTAATGATTCCCAAACTAAAATAGCACGACTGAGTTAATCCCTCATCTGAACGCCTGCCTGACCTTCTGCGGACTGAAACGTGGACCAGACTAACTCAGAGTCGGTGATTGTGTCTTTTTAGTTTGCACTGGACGGTTTGCTGCATTTCGATGTACACGACGAAAATAAAAACTACTTATGCGTGACGGATCTCGAGTCGTCTCTGTTTGTGCCTGCGCGTAAATAGGAGCCAGACCCCCCCAATCCCCCCCCTTTCTGGACCGGAGCATCGGTCTTCATATCTCCTTCCGTCTCTCCTCTCCTCGCCCTTCTTTTTCTGCCCTAATGAGAAGACCATTTGTCTTCCTCATCCCCCTCTCCGCCGACCTCCAGCTCTCCGCTGTGTTATTTCCAGATAATGGAAAGGGAGATGTTTTTAGCACGACTCAGTCCCCCCCCCCCTTCTTTTTTTTCCTCCTCCTGTTCTTGACCTTCTGAACGGCACCCGCCTCACCCGCAGCTAAATTTTCTTCCTGCTGCTCAGATGGATCACATCTTTCTTCTTGCCTTTTTCTGAGGTAGTTTTAAACAAAATCTCAATGCTCATGCTCGATCCTTCACGGTTGGGGGGTTCGTAATGTTCATTTTGAACACGCCAGGGCCTTCGGTACCGGCCTAACACGGGGAGGAAGAGCCTTCAGTTTTCAGTCGCCTGCTTTCCACTTTTACATTTCCCTGTTTGAAAGAGCTCTGCTGGAATGAGCTTCTTCTTCTGCTCCGCTTTGTTGATTATCTGTGTACAGCAGAACTTCTACTAACATACGAATTTTCCAACATACAAAGTGAAATTTGATCAAATATTTGACTTGACACCCAAAGTTAATTGTCAGAAGTATGAAAACAAAGTCATAAAAAGATGTGTGTAAAATATAGAAATTAAATAAGAATAAATAAGCTGAACTAGTTTAAAATTCACGTAGTGAAAGTTAGAGTAACTTAGGGTACGTCCTGTATCTCAGGCTCCACCTCTGCCTCTACACCGACCTTTTATTGAGGATTTCTTTTGAATTGATTTCTTTTTACATCTGTCTTTTATAATGCATTTGTTTTATTGCTGTGTGTAATTATTTGCAGTATTCAGTAGGGAGTTATCGTAGGTTTTTGGTCTGTGGAACGAATTATACGACGTATTCTGATGGGAATATCGGAACCAACATACCCATATTTTAACATTCGAAAAGGTTGAGTTTTTTTTTGGAAGTGAGTAAATTCCGGTAATTAGTTCGCCGCATTATTAACTAATGCTCCCGACAAGCAGCCGGCGTGTGATTAACGGGAGCTTATGAGTGACACCTCGCCTCCTCCGGTGTCACCAGAGGGGAGGATCGACTTTCACGCCGGTGAGCCCCGAAAACTGACCCTCTAAAAGGCCGCCGCCACTTCCTGGTGAGGCTCAGCCCGTCACGTGACCCGTGTTCAGGCGCTCTTCTGAGCGGTTTTGTCTCGTGTGACTTCCCAAGCGGTAAATTTATCCCGGGCTCTGAATTATTCAGGCCTCCGGGGCGCCAGAAGTTCCCATGCCGATGGCGGGCAAAGCGCCTCACATCCTATCTTTGTCTGTGGCTCCCGGCCAAGAGGACAGAGGTCTGGCTTTTTTCTCTTTTTGGGAAAAACATCAGGGGCTAAAGAGAGAAAGTCCAGTCAATGTTTAACTCCTCTGACCTTCAATAGTGACCCACTCTTCCACTACCGACGGTCATAATTTCCCAGGAAAAGGCGGCGGCCACTGTTTTCCCCACCGGCACCGCAGATCCGCACAAGGTCGAAACAGCAAACATTACACGGCAATCAGTTTGAGGAAGCGTCTCCGTTCAGTTTCCAGGTAACGGGGGTTATTATTTAACCCGAGTGAAACATTGGCGAATTTCTGAGCATGCCGGGTGGGTCCGAAACAAAAGAGCCGCTGTTTCGGCCTGTTTGCTGGGACCTCTAAATGGTTAAAAGCCACACTGACCTCGGCCCTAAGCCGTGGCTTTTGGTTGGATGGAGTTTGAGGACAGGAAGACGTAAAATCAACACGCAGCTTTGGGGAAAGTCACAGTCTGGGGATTCCAGGGAGGCTCTTTGGCTTCACTTCTGAAGAGTTTTTTTTGTTTTCATGACATCATTTCTTTCCAGCAGTGGTGTTTAAATTAAATTTCATACAGATTTATGGCTACCCAAGTAACAAAATGTTCTAAAAATCTGATAATCACCAGTGGCGTTCCTCAGGGGTCTTTCCTCGGCCCGTTACTCTTCTCCTTTTACACTCACCAGAAGAAATATTTGTAGAGGTTGATAACGTTTGTCCTATTTAGTGATATGAAAACACCCTCCGATGCTTCTTTTTTAAGCTAATGCATTTATTGCAAGTCACTTTTTGAGGGTGGCTCAAACATTCACTCAGTTTTCCCGTCATTGCAATATTTGTGACGGTGTTTACGTTTTTTTTTAAAATATAGTTTCTTAGAGCCTTTCGCTCTTTGTGTCAATAAAGATCTCGGCTCTTTTTTGCATTGTTGACCTATTCGTCCCTTTCACCCCAGCTCCTTCTTTAGGTCTGCGAACAATCATGTGATCTTTACCTGCGGAGAGAGTTTAAAAAAAGGATGTCAAGGCGTGTAAGTACAAGCTCGATTTGTAATTTGCTGTGATTCTGTCAAATTCCCTTTGCCCGGCTCTGAAACGCTTATTGTTTATTGCTCAGATGGTTTCTTCGGGTGTGCCCTCCTACCTGCACCTCCGGGGAACGGGGAGTTGTGTTTGTGTGTCACAATTAAGGGTGACATCATTAGCTTCAACAAAGCCCTGGGAAAAACAAACACATTAACCACGCACACACACCTCTGGGACGCTCTACAACCGGCTGCCTAATGGACTTGATAAAAACAACATGAAAGAGCCCGTCATGCAAAGTGCTCTTTATTTGCTCTCGTGCAGTCGACAGCATGTTGTGGCTTATGTCAAAGCGCTTTTAGTGTCATTATCTCAAGCTGGGATAAAGCGAAAACCGCGAGTCACTGAAATCGTGAATGATACAAAAGGGAAAAGGAAAAAAACCCTCTTGTTGATTTTGGGCTTCGGTGACAGAAATGGATAAAAACGGTTGAATAAAATGATAAATTGGATTAAAAAGCTTGCATTTGTAATAGAGAGAGGTGTTTTTAAGATCTCACGAGGCCGCTTTAACAGCCGAACTGATGATGTCACATGAAGAAAATGGCTGATAACGGGAAAGGAAACGGCCTTTTGGTTTGACATTAAACACACGTTTTCCTGTCTTAACTAACAAGTCTTTTATGGTTCTGCCCAAACAGGCATTAAAACCCCTGATGTCATCCACTTTACCTGCCCGGGATCTCACCTTCCTCATGATGATTAAGGGAGGAAAAGGTTTCATAAAAAAAACACATCAGAAGTCTGTCCTGGGGTGTTTAGTAGCATGGAAAATGAGGATTTTCAAGCTTTATTATCAACACAGTGACGCTTTTAAATGGTCTCCTTTCAGAGGAGCCGCCTCAAATTGTGAGAGCTGAATTAAAGGGAAATAAAGAGCGGCTTACATTAATCAGAAAACAGGTGAACGCCGGCTCTCCGTCGACCTTCCTGCGTGCCGCCGGCGTCAGGGAACAGAGGACTATTTGTGTCTGTTGCAGGGAATAACTCTGTTTACCATAAAAGATTCAGTGTTTGCCGGCATGCATAATTCATGGTTTCGGGGAGTAAATAAGGAGGAACCCGCTTCTGTCAGAGGAATTGTTACTGCAGCTTAATAAAAAAGAATCCTGGTTCTTACCTGATAAAACAGTCGGCTGACTTGAAGCCCAACAGGGTTGTTGTTTTTTTTCGCGGTGAGCCTGAGGGGTTAACTGTTTTTTTTATTTCTGTTGTGGTTTCTGGTTTCTGGCTTCTGTGATGTTGGCTTCTATTTCCTCATCTTCGATTTTCTCGCTTCCTTCAAGAATTGATTTATATTTCAAGTTGTAGATTTGAAATGGGAACTATTCTCAGTTCTTATTAATCTATTCTCCCAGTAAATGGAGAGAATGTGTTTGTATTTATGTTCCTGCTCTCTAAATGAAAGGCTTCTTTCATCGTGTCAGCAGGTGAAAACCTCGATTTAATCTCTTTTATTTAATTATTTCCCTTATTTTTACTACAGTTTTTTTAAAAAATCACAGCAAACACACACACACACACAATGTTGTTGCACACAGAACCAGTTTTCAGGCATAGAAAGCGGATAAAACCATGACCAGAAAAAAAAAAAACGACTGAGGCCTGCGAGGAGGAATTGCAGCCGAGGATGAAGAGCGATGAAGATAAAAGAGGTAGGCTGACATAAACGGATGAAATGACCAAAGTGGGGGCCGTTAGTGCGTTTTCCCTCCTGCTGGGAATGACACGGGCACAACAAGGCTCGCGTCCTCTCCCGCTGAGAGCCAATCAGAAGTCGGCAGATGAGCTTTCTTTTTCTGGAAGTTGCCAAGTGGGCGAATGTGCCTCCTGGGACTCCCCCCCCCCCCCACCGTTCATTAACAGGACCCCCGGGGGCCCCCCCCCAACCCCCACCCCTCCACCCACCGAGGCTCCAACTGCTGCCATGGTGAGGTCTGAGCACCTGAAACCCACGGCGACCGTATTCATGAGCAGCGTCTGTAATGGCCGCCGAGGCTCTAATGTGGAGCGTTTCCGGAATATTCATGGAGGAGCTGGTACCTCCCTCCTGTTTTTTCCCATGTTTGGTCTTCACGTGTTTATTTACGTCGGGGGTAAAACCTTCCTCTTGTTTCTTTTGTGCGTTTGCCTCCCCTCTGAAGCTGCTCTGGCCTCACTGGATTCATCTGACTCTTGTTCCTTAATTAGATCTGGGTGTATTTATAGCCCCCCCCCCCCCCCCCCCCCTCCTCACTCTCTCTCTTTGTTCCTTTTCATTCTTCCGCCTGTGTTTTTGTCTTCCTGGTTCCGACACGAGTTTCTCCTGTTTTTGTTCGTCTTTATTGTTTGTCTTTATTGTCCCTGATGTGGATTTGCCAGCGTGTTGGAAACGTTTCGGCCTTTGGAGCGGTTGGGTGGGGGTTCGAATCCCTGCCTGCCTGAGCACCTATTCAAACCGGGTCTCAAACCGGGTCTCTATATTTATATGTGAGCTTCAAGCTCCGGTCCTCGACCTCCACTGGGACCTTGGAGGATAATGGAGCTGGAGGGATTTATTTATGTCTTATAAGTGTTGTAATAATCTACCTGACTGGGAACGGTGACGGGAAGCCATGGCAAGGACTGTTAACCAGAGAAAAAATATAAGCAAATATTCACACCCGGCCTTCATGTCACCTTTCTTTATTTTACAATACAAATACATTAAGTACAAATTATTTGGCAGGCAAATGATTGGGCGACAGTCTCAAACAATGTAGAAATTGTTTGAACAAACAGCTTATTTAGCATTTTTCTCTTCACTCTCGCAAATATTTAGTGCTCTCCGGCCTCAATTAGTTCGTTTATTAGGCACGGGATGGGAACTAATGTCACAGGCCGGACTAGAAAGAAAACCAAGCCTGACCCAAAAATAGGAGAGACATGACAAGCGGGGCTAACTGCTGGTGCTGTGGGGCTAAGAGTCCAGATCTGACCCTCATTAGGGTTCTCAAAGTAGAGATGGAGGAGCAGTGCCAATCACATTAAAGGAAAATATGAATTAAACAGTTACTGTGCTTATGGAAATGACTTTTTATAAAATCACTTAAATATATATATGTTATAATATATATATATATATATATATATATATATATAAAATCTTGTTTCCAGGTTGATTAAAAATAATATCTAATCACCGAGGAATGTCATGGAAAAAAAAACGACTTATCCCTCTCCTCCTCTCTGGTCTTTAAAAACATCCACCGCCCCGAAAAAAATGAAGAATCACATGAAACATTCGGATTTCATAAATAATGCGACGGCACGTTTTACAGACAAAACTAAGACGAACGTAGAAAACGATGCTAATGACCTGTTTGGTTCACCTGCCTGATGACAGGACGCCGTGGCGAGGACCGCCCCCCCCAGAGGGGCGCTGGCTTTAGCGGGACTTATTGCTAAGTCAAGATCTGCCTTTAGCCCTGGTCAGTCCACAAACTGGCCTCCTCGTTTGGACGTCTGTACAAACCTGGTGGCCTTCACCAACAATAACAAAAAAAAAAAAAAAAGAGTCCAGTGGTTCAAAAATAGATCGAAGCTTCCTGTAAACAGAGCTTTCCTTCATTCGTTTATGTTCAGATATGAACATAATTATTCTTCAGTACCGTGGCAGAAGCCTCGTGGTGAGTCTGAATGCTCTGTAAAGTTCTTCTTCTTCTTCTCTTTTATTGCCGCGTGTCCGCGGTCACTCGCAGTCCTCGCCGGCGGTGGCGGCCTCCAGAGCGGCCAGCGCCTCGGCCACCATGGAGTCCGTCACGCTCTGCACCTCCTCCCCCTCCTCCCCCTGCTCCTCACCCCTCCAGGCCTCCCCCCCGCCCTCCCCGGGGGGGGCGGGGGGCGTCCGGGCGGGCGGCGGCTCGTCCGGCGTGGCGGCGGAGGACAGGCTGGTGCTGCTGGTGTGGACGTCCACCGACAGGACGCTGGCCTCGTCCCCCGTGTCGCAGGGGTAGTCCGGCGTCCCCCCCACGCCCTCGTCCACCTCGTCCACCGACGAGGGGCTTTTCTCCCAGCCGTCCCCCCCCCCGGCGGGGCTCGTCTGGTGGTGGCCGTACTCCTCTATGCGCGGGTACACGGGCACCTGGCTCTGGACCCGGTCCGTCCAGCGGGCGTCCGGCTGGATGATGTACAGCCCCCCCTCGGGGGACAGGCCCCCCCCCCGCGCCGGCGCCCCGTGCAGCCGCTGGTTGACGTGGTTGTTGTCCATCTCCAGCTTGAGCGAGCTGTCGGCGGACTTGCTGAAGCCCAGGTTGTGGAAGCCCTGCTTCTGGCCGGCGGGGGGGTGCGGCTGGTACAGGGAGCCGCCCGCCGAGTCGCTCTTCCTCACGTCGGCGGAGGGGTCATAGATGTGGCTGCGGCAGACACACAAAGACACAGGACCGGTCACCCCTGAGCTACCACCATTAAAACCAGCCTTTCATTTTATAATCATAATAAATTCAAGGGAAATATCTAGTCTTTCTGTATGAACACTGTGTTTTCCATCCATCAATCCATTATTGTAACTGCTTATTAATGGGGTTTAGGGGGGGTGGAGCCTATCCCAGTGGTCAATGGTGAGAGGCGGGGTCACCCTGGACAGTCCACCGGTCCATCACAGGGTGACACAGAGACACACAAGGACCAACAACCACTCACTCTCACTCCTAAGTGCAGTTTGGAATGTCCAATCAAACTAACATGGAGGTTTTTGGACGGTGGGATGAAGCCGGAGAACCCGGAGAGAACCCACAGACACAGGGAGAACATGCAGACTCCACCCCGAAAGGTCCTGGGTCCCCCCAGGTCGGAAATCCGTCGGGTCGTGTTAGTCATTGTCGGCTTTCAATCCGGCACAATCCTGCGGTCGGGATTTGAATCGGTCCGTCGTTCCGAGTTTACATGCAAAGCTAAAGGGCATGACCTCGGCTCATATTTGTGTTTAGGCTAATTATTAAGCAAATGTGGAGAAAAACGCCCCCCCCCGCAAACATCTGCCTGCGGAAAACGGGCTCATCTGGGGTCACATATCGAAGATGGACGAAGCCTTTGAGCAAAAGTCTTCGGGGACATTTGTCCTAAACGCTGCTAATTCATCCCACCGTACTGACCCTAATCCTGGGGCTGTGGGTTTGAATCCTGACCGGAGCCAGAGGGGGAACTGGGGTGTTTGTGACGGAGCGGTCACCTGTCCAGGGGGCGACCCGCTTCTCGACCAACGACGGGAAACGAAACACGGCCTAACTGCACCTGGCACTGGCGTTGGCCACTAAGAGAGCATTAGCAGCTCGTGCCCCCCCCCCCCACACACACAAACTAATGGGATGTTTGGGCAGCTGAGATCGTCCGAACGCCTCCTACGGCAGAACCTGACGTCCAGCGTGCTCCTGGTGGGAGAAGAACACCTGTGTGAGCCTGCTGTGAGCGCGAGTTGCTTTCCACGTCTGTTTTTTCATTTGTTTTCCCTCACAGTGGCTCCTTCCATCTCACGCCTCTGGGGGGGCTCCACCTCCAGCCCCCCCCCCCCCCCTCCGTCACCATCGCTGTAATCGAGCACCGTTTTTAAATGGGGCTTTTCCACGAGTGACCGCTCGGCTAGGCTCTCTGATAGTTACAGTTTTGGTGGGCAGACCGGGGGGGTCATGTGACCGGATGAGTCATGAACCCGTCTGTTTTACGAACGCGGCCTAAAACGAGAACACCATAGGCTGAGACGCGACCCCGTGGTGGTTCGGCAGCGGTTTTAGTGTCTTTCGTTGTTGCTTTGTGCTTTTTTTTTGTCACGTACGAGTTTCGTCACTGGCCCCTCTTTCTGCTACGACCTCACTGGAACGGAAAAAACGGCCAATCAGAGTCCAGGGGAGGCGAACAGAGCAGGTCTGAGCAGGTGCCAGTGGAGGACCCCCACAGTAGTCTTCCTTTTAAGGTTTTTTACCACCTCCTGCTTTGTTATCATTTTGCTCAGTTCAGTTGTCTTTTTAAAGAAAAAAGAAGCATCTTTTGGCTTTGAAGTCCTGAAAATCAAGACGACGACTTTCAGGGTCATGGACTTATTCAGTAACGGCTTCCAGCCAGCAGACAAACACCACCAGCTCCACCTCTAACATCCGCCCACTCAGCTTTCGGCTCACACACACAAACACACGCTCACCCTCTGACTCAAGCACCACTATCCAACCCCGACTCGTCCCTTCGGTCTCTTTTCACAGCGGTGAGATGAGAAAATGAATCTTTTCCATTTCTTTAGCTCTCCCGAAGCCATCAAGGTGAAATCTGAAGCACGCTGTCGGAAAAGTGAGAGACACGCCGGGCGTTTTATGAGAGGAAAAAAAAAAAAAAAAGAATAGAGCAATAACTCATAGAGGTGGACAAAAGCCTTGTGGGAGAATGAATGAGCTTTTTTTGTTTTGTTTTTATCAACAACAGGAGGGCGGCCATTTTATCTCAAAGCAATTTTCAAGCGGCCAAACAAATCGACAACCTGTTGTGCCAATTTCCCTGCCTTTGTTTTGCCAAAACGGGCGAAGAGGACAAAAAACAAAGTGCCTGGGGCCTGTTTCAGTTCCTCACACAAAGCAATGTGAGTCTGATGGAGTCTTTATGTGGGGAACGGGCCTAAATCAAATAACTGATGCAGATCAGCCCTTGAATTCAAGGTTAAAGACTGTACAGTTCATTTTCAAAGAGACAACTCTCAACTTGAGGTTTTTAGGACGTTTTAAGACCAGTTTTATGTAATCGCAGTTCAAACTGACGCTTAAAAAAAGAATCTGTTGGTGTTCGCAGCAAAAAAAAAACAGAATCCCGGCCCACTGACGCTAATCTCTGATGATTTCTGCACCTGTCAGCAGAATGTGACCAGATCAAATTTCTCCTCAGTGCTCCCATTCAGTCACATAAAAACAGAATTTGGGGATTAATTAAGTTTTTATTGACCTGAATTTAAGCGTCTGCGTGCTCCCTTGCCGTCCATTCTTTAAAGAACGGGGCTGGCGTACCTGGGGTGTGTGCGTCTCTAAATGTCTTTTTAATTTGTTTGGTTTCATAGCGTCAGCCCAGAGCAACATATGCCCACTCTTATTTTTCTGTCTTGGGCTTTGCCGTTTGGACGTCATCCTCATTCGTCTTTTTTTTCTATTTCTCCCTGACGGTGGGTCCCATTTTTCTTCTTGCTCCTGTAATCTATTTATCCATTTTGCAGACAAAAAGGCCCTCCTGGATCCGTCTGCATTCAACTGCTCGCCCCGCTTATTGTGTCACCCCCAAAGGATTTCTCCTACATTCTCATTAGTTCTGTGTGTGGGTCATATTTTTCTGGGGGAGGGAAATGGAGCCCTTGTGCCTTTTTTGGGGGGTGGGGGGGTGTACCTGTGCTACAGATCCTTGCTAATTCAATTTGTTCTTGGAAACAATCAGAGTGGGGCTGCCTCTCTCTTTTATGCCACCGGGGGATGAATATCCTGACATCTGTTCGTCTGTCGAGTCAGATGTGTGTAGATGTTCTCTGTTTGGAACAGAGAGGCAGGCTGTTGGGATATTACCGGCAGCCAAAAGGCCTCTCGGCTCATTACGGAAAAGGGACACTCAGAACAACTAAAGAGGTGCTTCCGTGTCACTGGTGACACGAGAAAATAAAAAAAACGAATCGGGACTACAGCTGTGGTGTGTGGAGCTCTTTCATTAATCTGCAATCAGAACACCGTTTACCGCCCTGTCCACTTGTTCCCTGTAGAAAAAAGCCCTGACAACGATGCCTTGTAGGCTTTTAATGAGCGGGCAGTCCAGCAGAGAAATACAGTAACCAAGGGCGATGGCTATTGGCATATTGACTCACAGAGAGTCCTAAAAGCCCACGTGAGGCTGGCGGCGCAGACGAATTATAAATGGACCTCTCACTATCTGCATGAGACGAGACAAGAAATCATTGTGTGGCCCTGCAGACATTTGAATTGGCACTGCAGAGGGGCAGATAAGAAAATCCACAGTGAGAGGTTGATATCGAGGAGGTGGACGCAAAACTCACACAAACCGTGTGACGCTTTCACCGCAGCGCCGTGCTGTTTTAATGTGCGCTAACGCTAAGCTGGAGACAACGGGACTGTCACTAAACATCGCTCATCACAGCAACCGCCTGTGATGCCGAAGCTGTGCACAGGCACTTTAGTTATTCTAAAGTGCTGACCAACACAACTCATAAAAAATTAAGGAGTAACAAATTTAACCGGAAAAAAAAAATACCCTTCCAGAAATGGCAGAGGCACGTCTCCTCATAGAAGATGCCATTTAATAGATAAATGTTGCCCATGTTAAGGTAGTTTTCTAAAAAATTAATTGATTACAAATGAAAACAGGTTTTTATTTTCATATGTCGTCAACTACTTCCCGTTCCGTTGGGGGAACACTGAGATGTCTTCAGGGTCATCCGGGGACATGATCTCTACTGTTGGTGCTCTTTATTTTGGTCTTCTAACAACTTGATACCTGATGGCATCCTGATAGCTCCCTGAGCCACTTTGGCTGCCGAAAACCTCTTAACTCATTGACTGCCAGCCATTTTCAGAACAGAGAGTCGCTCACTGCCAGAGTTTTTTGAGAATTTTGACTGATTTTTCAAGAGCCACAGAATAGTTTGTGCTATGACTATGTAAACACCGAACACACCAAAAGAAAGAGTAGACTCTCTTCTTTCATCAGGAAAAAAGATTTTGTTTCTACCTCATTCCGTTCTTCTTCGACGTGCGTCTCACCGGCGCCATTTCTCTCATAGCGAACCATTGCGTTTGTTTTTATTTGCTTACAATCTATACTAATCTCCCATCAAAAGTGGCACAGCTACCTAGAGGGTAAATTTGTTAGTACATACTCTGTCTAGAAGCCGATATTTACGGGAAAACTTTTGCCGATCGTCCCCCAAGCCACTCGCATTGAAAAACATAAAAGACGTCTATAGACGTCTTTGGCAGTCAGCGGTTGGATTTGAAAAGACGTCTATAGACGTCTTTGGCAGCGAATGAGTTAAGGAGTCCTGGATTCTTAACCCATCCTTAAGGCCGAGCTCAGCCATTATTTTCAGTTTCTACACTGCACCCTTATCTCAACATGCACAGACTAGGGCATCAGGGTTCATCCTCATACCATAAAGATGTACACCAATAATACTAGTAATAACCATAATAACTGTTTGGATGCATGTTCATGAGCTCTTCCAAATACATTAATTTATTGTCTAATTTGTTGTCATTATTGTGTGCTGTTATCATCAAAAAGAAAGGGATCGTCACAAAATACAAAGAGGGCATAATGAGAGACAGAAGGAGCACAGAACAGACTTCTCACCTTTTTATCATCCTGCAGCATTGGCACCCCATCTGGA